CGTGTAGGGTCACGATTAGACAAAGAGAATCTGGGTTAATCTGACTGACTAATACTGCAAGCAAATGAGGTCACCGCCTTGAAACTAGTATGTCCAGTTTACTTGGCTCTTCGTCCCACTGTCATTACCTTCACCGCCCTTTTATGTGGCGGCCCAGTAACTAATAGTTGGGGAGACAGAGCTGCTATTTGCTGCCACCTGCTGGTGAATTAGGGCAAAAACTGTATGCTGGCTGACATCTGAGGACCATCCGGATTATTGATCTGTCATATGGATTGTTTCTTTGTACCTTTTCATTATGGTTCATGTTATTCCCTTTTCTGTAAGGTGATCATTAAAGAGGAAAAAGACTGCTGGGCTCTTCTTCAACACTTGTAATTTTTCAAAATAACTTTTCATCCAGTCCAGCTGTGAATGTTTGGATTAATTTTTCTATTCAATCGTAGCAAATACATTCAGCTAAATGAATGTCAGTAATAGCTGTTTTTGTACTGCTGTTAAATCTATTAGTAGTATAGATAAACTTGTGCTGTCCTTTTAACCAGCTATACCAATTACTACTAATCTCTTTTGACACTTACCGATTTATTTTAATCATTTATAGATGCACTCATTTAGTTGGTTTACTAATCTTTCCATTCATCCCATGCCTACAGCAGAAGTACCCCCTGGGGTGCACATCTGCTAAGGTGTGATCTGAAGAGCCTCCATATCAGCAGAGGGAGACATTCATGACCAGCAACCACACTTGAAAAAAATCCCCTGATGTATCACTCTCCCAACTCCACTGCAGACATAAACATGCAGCCACACTTTCATACACTGAGAGGTGGTGGTTTATTTGAACATGTGAGTCAGCCAGTCCCTGTGGGCTGCAGCTGGAGAGAGTACAGTGCCCCACCCAGCAGCAGCAGCAGCGTCAAATGTGGTTGTAACTCCCCCCAACCTGCCCTCCCCCTCTCCCCCTCTAATTTATGCACGCTGGACTGCCCTCCCCTTTACTTCAGGATGTATTGTCCTCCACTCTTTAAACTGAGTTAAGTATTCAAAGGGAGCCATTCACTTACAGAACTGTGGTGGAACTAAAGAGCAACTACTGGATGGCTGCTGTTGGCACACAGATGTCTGTTTGCGGTGAGTGTATTTTTATGTATGTCCCGGAATGCGGCGCTATGGTCGGAGGTGGTAGTTTTCTGTAGATTAACAAGAGGATCTCTGAATTCGTGTTGCCTTTTTTCTGCTCTTGGTTTTTGCTTTTGAATCTTTCTGTGCTTTCAAATGCTTTTGTTAGTAAGTTATTAACCAAGTCGGTGCTTGTCCTCACATGATCCTTTGAAACATCACTCAGTGTAATGTGTTGAAGGCATGTAGTGATCTTTATTAGGTCCCCTGCTGAACTGTAACCATACAGTGTCATTTGGTTTGAATTAAGCTGTTCAAATCAAACACAAGGCTTTAGTAAATAAAAGGTTGTTAAAATAGATGCAGACATGGACTTTTTCACATTGTAGATCTGGTGATCAGAGCACAGAACTTAACTCAGATTTCACTAATTCACCTAAAAGAAGATCTTATGATCTTTAGAACTATGTCGACCTTCTCATACTCGACATATTGACCTCTGACATAACGTGACCTACATTTCTGTCTCAGAGCAGGATTAAAAAAAAACAAACATTTGCTGATACTTTGTGACCCAGGTGTGGTTAAGGCAAGCCAGAGGAACTGTAAAAACACTCATTAGACACTCTTGGTCCTGGGGGCATGTGGATCTTTTGTCTGCCCATGAGATGCTTATTGCTCGAGAAACGTGACACCACGCTCTCCTTTTCCAGCCTCTGTGGTCGATGTCTCATGCTACAGTTTTGGCGCAGACTCTGCTAATTTGGAAACAGTTGAATTTCAAGCACGCTGCAGTATTTTTGTCAGTCATCTCCGAGGAAGAATGTGCGAGATTGTTTATTCGATTTAACGTTCAGCTCACTTTTCTGACTGTATACTTAAGTTGTGTTTAGATTTGTCTATAACAGGGAAGTATACACTAGACATCCACCATGTGTAATAAGCACTTAGGGCGCCGCAGTGTCATGTGGCTGCTTTACAATGGGCTGTTTATGTGAACCAGTGGCAGTCGGAGGCAGAAGAGCGACTGCAGCCAGGCACAGTGCAGAGCTTCTCAGTCGGCCTAAGCCTTGTTCCTCCTCTATATGAAAAGCAGCCAGATTTTCAAGCCTTCTTGGACTCGGGGGCATGTCATTTACCAAATGAATGGGCCTCTCTTCTGGACAGTTGAGGCAGTTAGAGTCCATCATGACACAAGACAAGTGGGCCCACAGTATTACTTTTCACTGCAGAGGGCTGTTTTCTGCAGGCCCATTTGCATGCCTTCAGGATATGGCATGAGTGAAGCAAGATAATAAACATGCGTGAAACAGCTTATGAACATTCTGGACGGCTATTACGAACACAGTTTGACTTAAATCATGACTAGACGTCATGACCAGCTGTCTTCCTACATCTTCTGTTTTTGCAGGTTTACCATCGCTGTTGATTTCAGACATTTTCATGCACAGTTGTTAATTACATGGGGAGAAATTAGTAGACTCACTTACTTTACTCACTAAATTTAATTAGATTTTGTCCACCTCGCTTTCCTTGTATTTGTTCACACGTATATTTTTTTTTCTCCATCCCTTAGTTACTTAGTCACCCCACCCCCCATATAGACCACAAACTGTGTCTCGGAATGAGCCTTTCAGGATTGCAGCTGGTTGCAATGTCAAAACCTGATAAGCACAAACGACCACAACCCCAACCCCCTGCTGGTAAACAGTTCCCTGGGTATCACAGACCCACCCGCTTTAATTCCAAATGTGGAGCCAAAGTCTCCCATTGTTATTTATTTGCCAGTGTTTTCTTCTAACTATAAAATGTCCACGTCATGAGAAAAGAAATGCAAATCATGTTATTGGCTCAAAGAGCAGACACAACAGACTTGCTTTATTACTAGTATTTCAGGAACTGAAGCTGCAATAGATTATTTTTATTTTTGTCAGCGAGCAGTAAATGCATCAACATTTACAGCTCATTGACTGAAAGTAAAACCTGTTGTCCCTTACAACTCTTTTTCCTTAGGCACTTGAAAAAAGGTGATCCGATTTCTTTAAGTTTTCTCGCTCCTCTTCTTCTTACCTACACAAACACACTGCTTTAACCCTGGTTTCTATAACCATGCCATTGTTTTAGAGAATCACCATTTAAATAACATAAAAACTATTTTAGCTATAATTACAAATAAATATTCAGTGAGAGAGAAATTTCGGAGCCATTTTCATGCATGAGCTCAATAAGAATCTGGAGAATCATGCTGCAACATCATCTGCAGTTTCTTTCTCAAAAAAAAACAACTCCTGCAATAATTTCACATGGGTCAAATCAGACCTTTCACATGCTTTGTACTAAATGTTACTGGCAAGTTCAGACATTTAATGTCAAAACTGGCTGATGGGGTGATGCCTAGACAAGTTCAGGGTTGCAATGCATGTGTAATGTGTCTGTAATATATATTGTGTCGTCCAGGTCGTCTGATAGATTCCCCTAATTGAATGTGCTCCCTCACCAACCTGTGAAGTATCCTGAGTTGAAAATACACCGTCTGGGGACCTGTGAGACATGAATTAACTTGTTAGAAAGAACTGTAGGCACGGTTACAGGCAAGTCCACAAAGAAATATCACCTCACTCTGCAGTTTTCCCGTGAGACTACAGAGAATCTTATTGTTTACTTTCACCACTCTCACACCATCACTTCCTAGACATCACAGGCAGGCAGCTGTCTTCATTGAGAAACTTCTATAAAGTTACTGGACGCTTCCTGCTTAGCACCTCGCAGACAGAGTTGGCAACAAGCTGGGAACATGGTGGAGACTAGTAACGAGTCTCCACCCAAATAAAAGACAGAAACTGAGCTTAAAGCAGAATGCATGAGGATTTACACTCCCCAGGTGGGAAGAAACACCATTTCAAATGAATGCTAATGTTGCCCCGTGTCTGCTAGACCTATGTGACTCCAACAAGCTTAAAGGGTGATATGATAATGTTGTAGTGTTTTTAGCGTGTCTCCAAATGTTAAAGGCAAACAAAAACCATCACAATTTAGTTTTTTTGTTTTGTTTTGTTGTTTTTTTGGTTTAGTGATCCTCTATCACAGGTGTTATATGATTTTTTTTTTTGTAAAAGAGGGAAGGTTGTTTTGTGAGCAGAAAGCTTATATGGGTTGGTCATGATAACAAACATTAACAGTATTTTTTGAGAGTTACTTTAAATTCTTCTGATTTAAAACTTCCTGTTTAGATCTAGAATCATTTCCATGAAAAGAAAATTCCCACAATGTGTTAATTCCTGATCCCAAGGGTCACTGAAGCACAAAGCTCAGCACAGATTCTGTGATTTATTATCTTCCCACACAACAAGAGGCACACAGCATCCAGCTTTTACAATTGAAGGAAACCAAAAAGGGGGTTACATGCAGGAGAACGAGCTGTGTGTCAGGGCAAAGACTCACGATCCCACTGAGTGATTCTGCTTCTCCTGATTTACGGAAGACTGAACCGTGGCCTCTTAAGTCAAGTCCCGATGACTGTGAGAGCAGAGTGAGTGTTGCAGTTGCGTCACACGCTGCCTCTTCTGGCCTTGAGGTCAGGTCTAAGGAGGGCTGAGGAGGTGGGATGGGGTCACCGGGCAGGAAGATGATAAGCTGGTGCAAACAGAGTTGGTGTTGCAGCCGAGTGTCTTTGATGCGTTATCTTATGCCCTGGGGCTTTATCTCAGTGGTTCCTGGCTGTCTATGTTACTGGTGTCAGTGCTAAACTTTCAAACAATGGCTTCATGTTTACAGTGGTTGCCTGCTGTTCAGTATCTTGGTCAACCCTCACCGGGTGTCGCTTTCCTCTCCTGATCTGTGCTCGTATCTGAGTGCCAGTGTGAATCCCTCTCTTGCAGGATGGCACGGTGGGGAACCTAGATGACCTGGCTCAGGAGTACTCTCAGTATTACGGCACCTCCCTCAGTGACGTATGCGAAAGGATGGAGGAGCTACGGAAACGCAAAGTAGTGCAAGATGCAGAGATGGTAAATTGTCTTTTTCTTGTCCATTAAGATCAGGGTTTAAGGTTTAGTGTGGAACTATTGAGAAATGTATATTAGTGCATTCGTATCCATTAGTCAGCTGTTTATTCACTCTGAACTTAGCCCAGCTGTTTTCAGGCCTCATGCAAGCAGAAGGGGACAAAATCCGCCTACCTGCACTTTTTAAAAGTCACGTTACCACATTGTATTTTTGCTTATGTAAGTTAGCGGCTCTACAATAAATAGATCCCTTACTGATTTTCTCATCTTGCATGAAAGTGAGTAAGCATATTTTCTCACATGCAGAGCTGTCCCTGAGGTTGGGTCTTCACTGCAACTTGTTTTTAGTTTCTGATTCTGACTTTTGGTTTTTTACCTTAGGTTAACCTTTTGACTGAGTCACCTTTTGGGTGATTCAGTCAAATGAAAATTTTGTCTGTTCTTATGTTATGATGACACTATGATTTTACTCCTCCACTTCCCGTGTATGTGTGTTTCAGGGAACGATTGACTCAGTGGCCACATCAGTGCAGCTGCGCTCACAGATCCAGGTGAGTGTCCAGCTCTGAGCGTGTCAGACCCCGGGAGAAGGCAACTTCCTTTTCCGTGTGTCAGCAGACAGGCTGATAAGAGGCAGAGGAATTGGCTAGTCATGATTTATCCCGAGTCAGTGTACTAGGCCACAAAGTAACATCCGAGTGACTGCCGGGAAAAGAACTGGCCTTGACACTGTTCTTGGAAGTAGATCCTAAAACATGATGACGTATGACAAGTTATATATGGAAGTTTTTAGGTTTGGTGAATGTCTGGACTTTGATCCAGCTGAGTAGAAAAAGATTTGCCATTCCCTGTATATATGTATATTTAACATGTGTTTTTCATCTCCTTAGGAATCTCTAGGACTCAGCAGCACCATGTCGACTCCGGAGACCGAAAGAAGGTATAAAGAATATATACATATAAAAATAACCCTATACATGAGTATAGCACAGCTTCCCTGACTTTGGGAAGTATTGTGAGGAAGTATCGAGGAAAAGATGATTTAAATTTAAAGTCCATGACTTCTGGAAGCTGCACTGCTATGACTCTTCCTGTGTGATCTCCACCGCCCCGTGGACACGTGCATTTCCTCTGTTTCCTGGTGTCACATTTATGAAGTATTTCTGTGTAACCTCTAAACGTCCTTCCTTCCTTTCATTGTTTCTTTGGAAACATTTTGAAGATTAGTCACGTTTTGTCATTGGAAAGCTGAATAAGATCGAATAATTTATATGACGAGTAATGAGAAAGCGACATATTGATTTTATTAGATTTGTTTGTGCAGATGTAAAAGTTTCCTGAAAGTTGAGTAATAGCTGTTCTCGTTTTTCAGGATTTAATTATCATTGCAAAGAGGCCTGTTTTATTCAGAACCTGGACGGGGATGGAACTGTGTAATTCCTGTTAGAACGGGATTAGCAGGAATCCTACTCTGCCCCCTAGTGGGATCACTCCATAGGAATTTCATGAATGCGACTATCAGCAAAATTAGGGCTCCTTTTTGGAAACAAGCATGTTTCTTTTACACTTTTTAAAAATGATTTCAATGATATCTTTTTAAAGTTCACAATCAAGGCACGGTCCTCTCATAATGCTTTCTTTCTCACAGTGCATGAGGAGTCTTTATGCTATTTCCTGTGGTAAATGGGAGCATTTAATAACATCTGCACAAAATAGTTGGAGCTTATCTTCAATATGTAATGTGCAAAAGTATTGAGCCACCAATTATTTCTTTATGTTTTGCTTTCAACAAGACAGACTTTCCTGTAATTTTTGAAGGTGTTTTTACAGAACTTACTGAAGTCTCATTAGAAATGGTCTCAGTAGGGTGGCTGTCAAGAAGCCATTATTAAGGAATGGAATATGAGCTTTGAGCCGTGCCAAATTACACAAGGACTGAACACATAATCAGTGGCAAGTGGTGTTATGAAGTGAGACACAGTAGAGAGACTGTCACCTTTTTAATCTGCATTTCAGCCAGTGATGTTGAAGACCTTTGTTCATGATTCCTTCAACTTTGAGAAGAAGTTTCATTTTTTTTTTTTTTTTAGACTAATAATGATCACAAGCGCACTGCCAATATTGTAAAAGCATACCTGGATAGAAAAACACACAATGGAACACATATCAGGACCTCAACTACTCAACAAGCAGTGTGGGATCATCTTGAAAGGCCAGCCAACATCCAGAGAAGAGCTGTCAATGTCCTTTAAGAACCACTGAGAACTATTTCTGAAGACTAGTTAAAGAGATTACAAGAAAGCTCACCTGAGAGAGTTCAGGCTTTTGAAGAATAAAGGTGGTCATACCAAATATCAGCTTTAAAGCTGAGTGGAATTGTACATACATCCATTCGCTTCTGCTAATCCAGTTCAGGGTTGCAGAGGGCTGGAGACGACCCCAGCTACTATAGGGCGAGAAGCGGGGTTCATACTGCACAGGTTGCCAGCCTGACACAGGCCTAAATAAACTCTGTTTGCACATCGTTCAGTTGCTGCACCCATTTTCCAATTTTCCTAGCAAAATATAAAGAAAGTTGAGAAGCATAAGACTTTTGCACAGTACCTGCGTACTCTGGATACAGTAACCTTAAACCAGGCTGACACACAACTAATACAAATCAATAACAAAACAAACAAAGCAGCATTTAAAATATTACTAAGCAACTCTATAATCAGGAATAAACCCATGACTTCCGATTTAAAAGCATAAACTTGATCTGGCTTCAAAGTGAATGACCACAAACAAGCGTGAACAGAGAGAGGCTGTGAGAAAGACGGACACAAACAAACAGTCCAGAGAGATGAAGAGAGAGGCAGAAAGAGAGAGTGAACGTGTGCAGGGAATGCAGAGGCCACGTTGGTGCCGCCGCTGCTGCAAAACCCCAAACGGACAAGAACAGTGCTCCATTGTTCCAGAGATGGACGCAGAGCACTGATCGGTGTTCATCGGCCAAGAGCGAGCCAGTCTGTTTGATTTGCCTCTAATGTGATGCTAGTGTCTTGAGGCACAGTGTGTTTTTTTTGTTTGTTTTTTTTAATTTTATTTTAGTTTATTTTAATTTAATTTTTTTTTTATATCTGAAGTTGAGTTGTTAGGGGAAATGGTGGGATAGCAGTAAAAAAGATGAAGAAAATAACTTTGGACAGCAGGTAGTGTCGTGTTCTTTAGTTTGATGTTTGTTTGTTTTTTATTCGAGCTTTTCTGATTAACTGAATATTTTTTGTTAATTTTTAGGTTTCCTGTTCACAAATCCAGCTCGGACGATGGATCAGGAGGTAAGTCCAAACTTGACTGGTGTATTTTGTTTTCATTTTTTATTCTATATTAAATAAATATGAGTTTTCACATGTTCATTTACACACTTAATCTTTCCTAATCACCACTAAGATTTGTTCATTTATTTCTTCTGGAGAAATGGAAGGAATTCTTTCCCTTACCATACTACTTTATTGTTTACCTGTTTATCAATTTGGGGTGATTATACTTTGAATCTGTTTTGTTGTTGTGTTTTTAATTTCTCCTGTGCTAAAATTGGTTTATATGTAATAGGAAAATGGGATGGAAAACGAAAGAGCAAGTCTTTTTGGCAAAGTTTCAAGAAGTCCCAGAAGGGTGTCGTTCGTCAGATCTCAAAAGGTACCTCAAATAAACATGAAAAAAATGCTTTTGGTTTTTTTGACATTAAGAATTTTTCTTAAATTTCGTCGTGTTCCTTAATGTAAGGTGTCATTGCTAATTTTTGCAGGTGATGATGTTGGGTTTGTGGCCAGTGAAGTTACGATGAGTGATGAGGAGCGAATTCAGCTGATGATGATGGTGAAGGAAAACATGATCTCCATAGAGGAAGCCCTGGCACGGGTAGGATGTTCTGCATCCCAGAGAAACTCAACCTTAGATTATCCAGCTGCTGTGTTACTTTGACCTTGTGGGGGAAAAACACACATTTTTATGGATAAACTACAAGAAAGTCTTATCATATTGTCGGAAACTGTATCCATGCATCACAAAAAAAAGTCCTGGCACGATTTAATCTTATGCAGATATATGGTCAAACTAGGGTTTAATCTGCACAGTGAATATCATGTAATTTTTATAATTCATCATAAAATACTACATACTACATTTTCCAGGATTAATTCCTCTTTGACTGATTGGCTCCTCATAATAGACTCTAAATCTACATCATTAACTAACAGGCTCATTCTTTTTTTGCAGCTGAAGGAGTTTGAAATACAAAACAGACAGACATACAAGGCTGATCTCACAGAGTCCACTGATCCCTCCAGTACCCCAAATGAGTCGTTCAGCTGTAACGTAAGTCTCTAAGGGCATCTTATTTGCTTTTTAATGCTGAATCGCTACTTCAGACAGTGTGTTGTGCATGAGGACCGCCGATTTACCCGTGCCAACGCTGCTGAGGCGTTGACAGTGCCGTTTTCTTTTTCGCTCTGTCCCGATGATGAACCAGGGCCCCTCTAAAGCCCTGCAGCTCAGGGTCCTTTCCCAACTGCAGGGCATTGGACGAGCTTCTATTCATTGCTGTCAAAGCCCTAACCCCCTATTGTGCTGTGGTGAGCGGGTGGATTCAGCACAGGGCTCTGTTATGCAGGCTGCAGCTCTATTATGCGTGGGTGGGGTGATTAGGGGGCTCAGGTTCAGGGCACATTTTTCACATTAGTCTGTATGGCCTGACTGTTTCTCTTTACTATATGTATCAATCTCACTCTTCTCTTTTTTTTGTATTTATGTGACCTTTGTAAAATAAAAATCCTTCCTTCTAACTCTGAACTTCTATTGTATATTTCAAGCTGCTAATCAGCTTTCATTTGGTCTCACGATGTCTGTTCTGAGAGATGCATGCCGCTGATGTTTTGGTCAGCAGATAGTGCTCAGCATGCATGACCCAAGACTGCAAATGCACCACTGACATTTTCAGATAATGGTTAAGGTGATTTCCAAGCAGATAGCTATTTAATTTTCTGTACATAGAAGGCTTTTTTTAGTCTGCTGTGACCCACTGTGTATGTGTTAGCTCTCTGCACGGGGCCCCAGTGTCATCACTGTGGTTTCCTACCACATATATTTATATTAAGCTACAAGCTTCTACAACAGATAGTTGCAAAGCATCCACAGCAAGTACGCTGATGAGTTACTAGAAATGAGAGTAATTAAGATAGCTCACAGTTTTAGGCTTGCACACTGTAGTATACAAAAAGCAAAAGTGTTGCATAATATCTCCTGACCTACTGAGAATATTAGGCCTCAGAGCCAAAGTGTTGTTACAGATGTTGTCTATTAATACAGTTCTTAATATTCTTTTCCATCAGCCCTGCGACCTGTCAGACAACGAACAAGAGGAATCTGTCACATTCAGGAGGCTCCACAAGCTGGTCAACTCAACCCGGAAAACGAAGAAGAAGCTGATCAGGATTGATGAGTCTAAGAGGCCTGGAGCAGAGGGTACTAAAACTACTCTCAGATAGTATCTAATGTGGTAGAGGAAGCAGTGTGGCACACCGCGGTGCTGAATGTGGCATTTATGTGGCATATTTATAGCATGTTTTTACTTTTCCCCTGCTTTAAATAATGCTCAAAAACCACAATCTGGCAAGTTTCCAAAGATAAAAGTATCAAATACAGTTTTATTGGCAGATTGGAAAAGCTCTCTGAAGCAGTAGATGCTGTAACAATCTTATTTCTTTAGTATTGACCATGAATGGCTCACAAATTGCAGCTATTATCAAATAATTAATAAATGCAGTTGCTGATTTCATTAGATTTGTTAATAAACTCTCTTGTTCTCTTTTTACCCACCAGAGAGCCTGAATGCAGATGGCCTTCCCTGTGGAGATGCCAGCATCTCTCTATATTCAGGTTTGCAGAGGAAACCTTTAGTCTGTCCAGTGGACTCCCTGGCTTCAACCCTGCAGGAGCAACTCTCCTATAACCGAGACCTGGACAGCCTGACCACCTCGCCGTCATCCAGCAGTGTGGACACCTGCAGTAGCCAAAAGACCTTCCAGACCTTGAGCAAGTCTAGTGGTAGCCCTATTCACCAGGAGACCAACATAGCAGGGGAGGTGTGGGAGCCAGGCGAAGGCTCTTCTTTTTCTGAAACAGAGGGCTGCAGTGAGGAACCCAAAATTGCACGCTCGGTGACCGATGGCGCGCTGCGTCACCCGGTCCTCAACCCACTCAGTCACCACGGGGTGAGTACACAGGCACATTTAAATAAAGACTGCAGTCTAGATTGTTTAGTAACGAATCCTTTCACCTCCATTGTTAGTGAGTTTGCACCATTGGTACCATTATTTAAGCGTCTCAATGAGGCAACAACAAACTGCCCATTTAAACTGGCCTTTTAGTTTGAAAGAGAGTCTGGGTGGCTTAAAGGCACACTCACATAAAGTTCTAAATTCCTAAACATGTCACAGTTTGTACATAATAGCCTCATTTATTCTTATCTTCTTGTTGTCTTGTATTTGTACAGAAACTCAGGATTAATGCTTAACTAAACAAGACTGGTGCCTATCAGTGGTACCATACACCATCACTGATCCTGGTTAAACGTAAACATAGTTGAAGTCTATTTAAGAATGAATAATAAGCAACCTCAGGAACTAACAAACCACTAGACGTGTACATTTTCCATAACACTGTCTTTTTATTTATTCATTTCTCTATGTCAGCCTTATGTTGTTATTCTTGTGGCTTAAAAGCATAAATGGTGGGAACAATTGCACCTGCAGCAGAAGACAGACCGTGCTCTAAAATCTCATTTCTTGCTTTCTCTTGTGTTTTCACAGAGAGCTTCTAGCTTTGGAGGATTCGACCTGACCAACCGCTCAGTGACTGCAGTCAGCCCTGAGAACGATAACACTGTATGTGGCACTAAATGTGACCTGAATCAAAGTCAACTTTATTGTCTGTAATATGTAGAGAATATATGCAGTATTGTGTAGCCCACTGTGTGCAACAAGAATGGATCAAAAACGATGAAATTAAATAGAGAGCCATAAAAATTTGTGACACAGATATGAAAGTAAATGTGAAGTACACAAGATTTATTAAAATATATAAGCTGTGCAAGGAATCCTAAAGCTATCTAAATAAATATGAATTATAAGTTTAATCTGATTTACTTATTTCCATCCTTTTTACTTCTCTGTGTTTGTAAATTAGATCAAAACTGGAGACGGGGATTTGAGAGATGGCGTTAAATTCCCACCAACACCTCGTATCTCTCTGGGTAAAAAAGTCAAGTCTGTGAGAGAGACGATGCGCAAACACATTTCCAAGCGATACCATAGTTCTCTCTCTGAGCAGGTATGTTTTTAGAAGCATTTATGTGTGTTATCATTGTAAAGTATGGGTGTGAGGATTTTTAAGCAAGTGTAATAAATGGTTTTTTTTGTCCTTATATCTTCCAGTCAAGTCCAGATCGCTCTTCCAGCTGCCCTCACTCGCCTCAGATAGACTCTGACTCTTTGGAGAAGCCCAAACTGAAGCCAGGAGGGTCCGTGGAAAGCCTGAGGAGTTCTCTCAGCGGACAGAGTTCCATGAGTATGTCTGTGTGTCGTGTATATTTTAATAACTCTCAGTATTTGTTTAAACTTGATGTTTGATGTTTATCGCTTTTGAAGTAGTCTAAACATTCTGATCTCGCTGTATTCATCTGTGGTTAAAAAAAAACTAACTCCTGAAGTAAAGAAGAACATTTATAATATTTTTCAGATACTAACAGACCCATGATAACTTGTGGTCTTGATGTGACATCTTCTTTTCTGATTCGTGCAGGTGGTCAGACGGTGGGCACCACCGACTCCTCCAACAGCAACAGAGAGAGTGTGAAGTCTGAGGACGGAGAGGAAGACGAGCTGCCTTACCGTGGACCCTTCTGTGGACGTGCTCTGGTTCACACAGATTTCACTCCAAGTCCCTATGACACCGACTCCCTAAAGCTGAAGGTAGGCTATGTTATATTGCTCACTACTTAGATATGAGCTCGTACTGAAAAACAAAAAAACTCAAGCTCAGCTTATCTCGATTCGCAGAGCGGAGACATCATCGAAATCATTAGTAAGCCTCCGATGGGTACGTGGATGGGGATGCTCAACGGTAAAGTCGGAACCTTCAAGTTCATTTATGTGGATGTTCTGAACGAAGAGGAGGTGAAGCCCAAGAAAACACGCAGGAGGAGAAAGGCCCGGCAACCCAAACCCACCTCTGTGGAGGAACTGCTTGATCGCATCAACCTCAAAGTAAAGAAAGGCGTACATTTGTGATTAAAAGCAGTGACTAAAATACTTGCATGTGATTGGCTTTAGCTCTATTTAAAGGAACAGTTTGACATTCAGGGGAAGTACACTTACTTGCTTTCTTTTTGAGAGTTGATAACAGCAACCACCTTCAAATCTGTACAGACTAATATTATTCCCCCACCTCCTCACTAGTAAGGTGTTACATACTGTTTGTTAAATCAATGGGGAAATAAAGTGCAAAAGCAACTAGTTATATGTAAGTATATAAGTGATAGTTATATATTAAGAGTTTTAACATGTTAGTGAGATTTGCCTTTATTTTGTATGATGCTTCCCTCTCCTCTCAGTCTTAAGCTTCACCTTACTCACAGCAGGCCAATAGGAGTATTTTCTAAAATGTCAAACTTACAACTTTTACCTGTAGCTTAAATAGATTATTTTTCATTTTCATCTGTGTTGGGAAATTTTAAAATTAAGCTAACTTCATATTTGTTTTGCAAGATGTGCATGCTCAAATGGCATCCCTCTTACATATTTTAATGGATCTGTTTGTGCACCTTTTATTATCGCCTTTCTACAGGAGCACCTGCCCACCTTTCTGTTTAACGGTTACGAGGATCTAGACACATTTAAGTTGCTAGAGGAGGAGGACCTGGACGAACTCAACATCACAGACTCGCAACACAGAGCCGTGTTGCTCACCGCTGTGGAGCTGCTGCAAGAATATGATGGTGGGTCAGACAAACAATAGAAAGTCTCGCTCTATCATAGAAACGTCCTCAATCCAAGGGCCACATTTCAAATTAGAATATTTGAGGGTTTAGATGTACAGATCGGTATCTAAATACTGTCTGCAGTAGACACACAGTCCGAGTTTGGTTTCAGCTTCTGTAGACATTTTTTCTGTTGTTGCTGCATCTCATGGTTTAATAGTTAAATTTTGAAGAATAAATGAACAAATCCTGCATAATCCTCTTTAACTCAAATAGCCACAGTAATTTGCAAAATTTTACCATTTAATTCATGTATGGCTTGAAACTAGCAACTGGGATCATAACATCGGGAAATTGTTTGAGGTCACAAAGTAAAGAGACTGAGGGGCATTTTTTCTTCTAACAAAGTCTGAGTAGTTGCCCCCTGCTGGCCATCGGAAAGAATGCATGTTTAGACTTGGAAGTCACAGTTTTGCACGACTTTCTTTTGACTGTCATGCCCCTGGTGGCGGCGTTGTGCATTGCAGGAAGCAGCGACCCAGAGCGAAGCGGTCAGTCTGAAAGCTCACAGGAGAAGCTGCTGCCGGACAGGCGTGGCCTCTTGGGAGACTCCCCGCGAGACTCTGGCTGCTACGAGAGTAATGAGAACCTGGAGAACGGTAATGACAGCCTGACCCGCCTGTGAACACTGTACGCTTCTTCAGCCCTCCTCTGCCTCATCCCTGTCTAGAAAGACTCTCCAGCTCAAGCATTCCAATCCACCAGATTCCGTTTCCATGCTCTTCTGGAAAGACTCAGCTGTCGTCGCATTTACTTCTAGCGCTTCATGTTTGTTTGTTTTTTTCTTCCCTCAAGCATCGTCATGCTTTTTTCTGTTTCTGCATCACTGAATCAAACTGTTTTGCGGTCACGTGTCTGTTCAGTGCTTCTGAAAGTTGGCATCACTTGCCTTCTCAACATAATACAGAGGACAGGTAACAAGGGACTAGCAAATTTACTTGATGTTGAGCTGAGCAGTGACATTTTTCAGGCCTTGGAAGAAGCTGCGTGCAGAGCAGCTTGCAGATCTACAAATAGATCCGCAGTGTTGACTTGTGTGGTGGTTTTTGCATTTGCTGAAAGTGGTGGCTGTTGTGTGATGAGTGTTTAAACAAGCTTTAGGTCTACTTACATTAAAAACAGTACATTTTTGCAGTAAGTGCTCGCTTTATTCACAGCTGTATCATGCTTACAGTGGTTTTCTCTTTAGACTTAAGTCTACAAACTGTCGAAATGAAAAGAGCTATGCTTTCTGAATGTTACGTGATTGGACTAAGATGTCAGATCAGCCTCACCTTAAAGTGTATTTCCTTTAAGATTCTGATGTTTGTGTGTGTATTTTTTTTTTTTTTTTTTTTTAGTCCAGTAAAACCTAATGTTGCACAATATTTTATCACGTGCCTGAAGACTGCATATTGCAGCAGAATTAAAATATTTACTTAACAGTGTAAGTGTTTAAAATAAGGCATTTTGTATCATTGTAAATGCACAAAAATGCAGAGGGCTTAGGGCTACTTTAAAATGTTTAACCAACTTCTCATTGAAGTGTGGCATGTTTGGGCCCTGAAGTCTCAGCATTTTCTGAAGTGTGCTTCTGTCGTGGTTGAGTGTGAGGAATAAATCGCTCCATGCTTTACCACAACTGACTGCTTGCTGCTTTTCTTTTACCCATCGTTCATTTTAGTGCACATTTAGCTGCTTGTTTTGACTTTTTTCTCTTTGGTGTCATTTCAAAGTAGACACTTTCCAAGACTCCCTGCTCTGCTGCTGTTGTGTTTAACCCAGATACATGTCACAACTGCCTGGCAGCTGTATGATCTGCGCACACTCCACTTGTTTATTTCAGGAAGGGGCAAAAAGACACGCTCGACCATCAGCAGATCTTCATCTGGCTTTGAGTCCAGCCACCTCCCATCCCCAGAGTACCCTGTCCTCCCCCTGCCCCTCACCTCCATCCAGTCCAGCAAGTCTTCATCCCACAGTAAACCCAGATGCTTCCCCCATGTCCATCCTAACCTCCCAAAGCGCGGTTTGAGCTCAATAAAAGGTCGTATTCAGAGCAGATCGTTTGCTAGGAGCCACAGCTGCATGGAGCTAAGAAGAAACGCAGCACAGACTCCGCTACGCCGCTGCTTCTCCCTGACGATTCTCCACAAAGATCAGAAGAGAAGACTCCTCCTCCGCCCTAAAGACTTAAATCTGTACATAAAGAGCACAAAAAACCCACTGACAGTCGTGCGTCCATCCTCCCACGCTTTATGTAGGACATCATACACTGCTGCATGTACCAGCACAGCAACACAGCAGGCACACCCAGAGCCGCCACCCACAGCTCCACCCAAAAGGTCCAGCGACCATGTAGCTGCACCTTCCTTATTAAACCCAGAGCGAGAGCCCTTACCGACAGTAATGCCCGACAGAGAGCACATCTTTCTAGGAGAAAGGAAGGGTGCTTCAGTTTCAGCCACTTCTGAAGCTTGTCGGCTGAAACGAAAAGAACTTAGAAGTAAATCTGGCGGTGGAGCCGGTTTCTAACAAGGTCTGTACAGTAAGTGCAGTACAGAAAGGTGTCTTTACAGCTGTTGATTTCTGGTTTTCAGCTAAATGGAAATTCTGAAAATCTAACCACAGGTTTTCAAAGAAAATATAACAGTGTAAACTTGACGGTCTGTGCTTACGCTGTTAAACCACATTCATGTAGCTACTGACCCCCTCGGTCACAGTTTCAGTGATCTCCATTCAGCTGAATCTGGTTCGTCTCTGCAGTGGAGCTGTGCAGAGTCCAACAGTTACACGAGCAGTAGCGCTCGCTCAGAGTTGTCATTTTTCAACACAAAGCATTCATGAATAATTTACTCCTTCTGGGTTCACTGTAATGGAACGTTTTCAAACTGTTAATATGAACTGAGTGTTTTGTTCTTGTTGTGTGTATGTGTATATATATAAATATAGAATATAATAATCACAGCTGGCCTATACAGACAATTTGGCCCCAGATGGCAAAGTACGGGCGCAAACTAGAAAAGCAATAAGCAGTTTCTTTTTCAGGGTTTATTGACACAATGTTTATATTATATTAGGAACACCCCAATCAAAACATCTGCTGTGAAAGGAACCTAAAATTATTAACAGGCAATCAGCTTTTATGATAACAAAATGAATGTTTCCAGACAATGCAAAAACATTATCTCCACTGAAATAGTGATACAGAAAATGTTCTTATGTATTATAAGCATAAAAATAACAGCAGTAAATGCTTTTTTTTTCTTAAATCTGATGTTTTTACAGTACTGTTACAGAAAGATGCAATGATGTAATATCCTGAAAACTTATTAACGATTAGTTAAATTAAAACTCCACCAGTGTTAAATTAAATTATTAAATAATTATATTTCCATAAATCATGTTTCTTAAATGTAAAATCTACTCTAAATCTACTAAGTGTTCTGTCTGTGCTTAGCTTTGTCATTTTATAAAAAGGTTGTGTTAGTAGCCCTGAGTAGAAGTGGGATGTAGAATGTGTTCACAGTTTAGGCTGTGGGGCCATTTCATGAAGGGACTGTTTGACCAGCCCCAGTGTGTCCAGAGCAGTACCCCAGGCGAGGGTAACTCCCCAACCCCCGTGGCCATAGTTGTGGACCACAGGCACCGGCCGGCCCTGCAGCTCCACCACTTCCCTCTCCACCCTTGGGTTCTTCCTGCTGGGCCTCAGGCCAACCCACTCGTTAAGAATTTTGGCTTTGTTGAGTGACGGCTCCAACCTACTGCAGCGCTCCAGGATGCCCTTAGTGTCTCTGTCGTCCACCTGCAGCCGCCAGTCTCCTTCTTGCCTCGTCCCACCTATAGTGACACTGCGTATGCCGGGGTAGATGTACGTCGTCCCATCTCCATCTCTAATGAAGTGCTGCACCCAGGGGGCCTCCACTTTGAGGACCTGGCCTCTGACAGGGTACACTTGTGTGTCTCCCACCAATACTTTGGAGCCGAGACCGGAGCAGTTGACAATGATATCAAAGTTGTTACTCAATTCTTGAAGATTGTTGACTTTCCTCTGTTCCACTTGACCTCCAGCTTTTCTGAACCTTTAGAGAAGAATTTATGATGTTAACATGACGAACTTTAAATTAAGTAGAGTTCATTTGTAATTAAAAGCTTGTGGATATAATAGTATGACGTGATAAAAGAAGTTTAATGTAGGGGATGAACCTCTTCTCGAGCCATGGCAGGTAGGTGGAGCATTCGCATTTTAAGGTGGTGAAAGCCTGACCAAACTTGTGATCTGGGAAGCGTTTCCGTTCAACATCAGTCATGAGTCGAAAGCCGATCACAAACTCTGACCAGAATGGTTTTTTAACTGCTGGAACCTCTTTAAAAATTTGCCAGCTGCAAGAAATTAGTAGAGAAATCAGTTGTTCGACAATGGATCGGGCTAAGTACTCAACTTTTACAGCATCGTATACAAGTAATTGCTACCCAGAGCTCAGCATTACTCCAGCTTCTGGTGCACATTGAGACTGAGCAATGGCCAACAGGTGATCAAAGCTGTCCTTGAACCAGTGTTTTTGTCTTTGCAAGGGAATATCTGATGGAGAAAGGCATCATGTAAAGCAAATGTGCACTGCGTTTTTATTTTTATATACATTGCATAATGTGGTGCAGCTGTAGTGTAAATCTCTGAGACAGATCCTGTTTTCTTACCTGGAAATTGTGCAGCAAACAAAATCCCAGCAGCTCCGTCACTTGTTGTGTCTGGGCTGAATTTGTCAGCCATCAAAGTAACAGAGCAGAAAGGTAGAGCTTCAACAATGCACACAGCGGTGGAGAATCCAATCACGCCAGCTCCAACAACCACAACCCTGACGCTTTTCATCATGGCAGCTCTGCACCTCAAACGACAAGAGAATTTTACTAAATGCCAAATAACCTTTGTTATGACTCCCTTTTAAAAGTTACTCAACGACAAATTGTCCATTACGAAACAGTCATTGTAAGAGCAGTATACATGCAGTTATCCATAAAACAAAGGCTACTGGTGTACCAAATGTCCAAGTCTTGCATTTGCTGTAGCTGTTTAAAATATAACAGTTCTGATTGTCCTTTTAGGGTTATATACAAGAACAAAGCACCCTGTATGTGCAGCAATGTCCTCTGCTGAACCTGAGACTTTCACTTCTAGCGAGCCTGAACAACTTCACAAGAAGTTGCAAAATCATTTTCTTAATTTCATTATTTAGTGTTTGTTTCAAAGACTTTGTTGTTAATGTTGCCTTAGGAGACCTCAAAAACTCACGGTGCCTCAATCCTGCCTTTTACAAATAAATAAAAAGCAGCTCTTACAAAACAGAGCTCTTTCTCACAGGCTCTCAAACACCCTGACATTTCTTAGAGTGTATTAAGGATTAGTGATTAGTATTACTGATACTAATTATGATACATTTCTATGACTAAAGCTCTTGAAGATGAACAGCCAAATAGTGAACAATATATATATAATTACTGCATTGTCACATAAGAGATACATGTGTATGTGTGTGCTTTTCTGGGGTCTGAAAAGTTCCAAATTCACCATTTAAAGAACTACTTGCAGACTTGCCCTCTGCACAGACCCAGCAGGTCAGGGTGGAACAGGAAGCTGAGGATAAAGCCACAGAAATGGCTAAAGAGGGGGTTGTTCTCCCCAGAAAGGTTTGGAGGGAATTGATGAATTGATGGTGGAATGAAAAGGGGGTCCACCAGCCAAACTTCAGTTAACAGGCTCTCCTCATTAATTCCTTTTTCACAATGCATAAATGTGTATTCTAGTTATTGCTGCAGCTGAAACTGTCTTACAGATTGTGGAAGTATATTTATTAAATGAATCATCACACAATAATTCAGTTATATATCTAGCTGTAAGTTGTAGCCGGTTGTAACAGCAACCATACAAAAATCCACTCCCAACTGTTGTTGGAAAGGTACGAATACCTTAGCCATTAGTGAAATATAGCTGATATGATGTTGGAAAATATATTCTATTTTCGTTATGCATTTCAAAATAAAAACTTTCTTTTGAAATTTATTTTTTATTAGAAGAAAGTTCGCTTAATATGGAAGTATAATCTAAACTAAATACATGTTGTATGGCTCACTTTAAAAACAAAGTCCCATTGACATTAAAAAAAAAATCCCTAGACCTACCCGAGAAGAGCAGAAATCGCAACAAATATAGCAGCACAGTTCTGTCAAAGTGTGTGGATATTAAATATGAATGCGCAACTTTGAATGGCTCTCCAGAGTGCAAACTAACAACTAATGAAATAAAGCACGTGGCAGTGCGTTGTAAGGAATCGAAAATGTCTATACAGATAAATAAGCCTTATACACACCGAAAGCTCGACAATCCAAATGTATCCACCCACCTAAAATAAAACTGTCTCCTTCTTCCCCCGCACAGAAAATGTCCCCAGAGACCGACAACAGGTGCTGTGTGTTTCTGTTTTTCTCTCGGGAACGTGCACTTCCTGAATCAAATTTCATTAGCTATGCTAGTTTTAGTTATTTTAAAAGTCCCACTGAGTTATTAAAATAAAATAATTTCCCATAATGCCACCTATTTAACAATTTAAACAAACCTTTATTAACCTAGAAGAAAGGGTTGATCGACGGGGAAAAGTGCGACCCTCAGGGGTCGGCGGCTCGGCGTGGATCTCGTTAGAACCTCACATCTCGCGATAGGTGGCTCATATCACGCTCTGGTCCGTCCAGCGAGCGAAGGTAAGGTCCTAAAAGCTGACTACTTCAAATTAAACCGCAGTTTATACGTCCAAGTCCTGTCACCAGACCGAAAATTATTAGTTAACTTCTTTTGAAAGCTTTATTTCGGTCGCATTCTTCGCCATTTCTGCTTCTCGTGCCCCCCCCTTTCAAGACAGCGGCGGTGCATTGTTTGCTTTGAGACAATTAGCTTGCTTGCTAACATCCATTCGTCTGTAAACATTATTTAAGCTGAATGTCAGTGAACTCTGCATGAACGTGATGAACAGTGCAAAATATCTGTAAGTTAATATATGAGGTGAATGTAAATACCAGTATGGGTTCAATTTTGATTTTGAAAACATGAGGATAAACTAAACAACGACCAACATTATAGACAGTTTATTATACTTCTATTATTTATTTTATTGTAATATGAAGAATATTTTTGTTAGTTTAGACTGGTCACTACAGATTAATCAGCTCTGTAATACAAATTCATTCTAGATCTATAATACCAAATGTATGCTTACACGACAGACTCGTATTTGGACAGTCCAACCATGTCTGGTGTCCTAAATGTGACAAATTCCTGAAAAACTGTTGTTAGTAATATTTGTCCTACATTTTTACAGACTGAACATTTACTAATGGATAAACGGATCATGTAGATTCCTCTGGTCATGTATGAGTAAGTAGTAATAGCAGTGGTAATACGAAAAAGATCATATATTTATGTAGCCTGGGAAATGGTTAGCCACACAGGACACAATTACTGGGGTTCTTAATGTGCAGTTTTATTGTCAATGACGACTGAATAAACCAAAGGTCCTTTGACCTTTACTTTTGTCAAACAGCGGCTATATGGACTTGTACTGAACATCTACAGCACGAGAGGTAACGTGGCAAAGTAACAGAATAACCGATTAAACAAAGATGCGCCAATACAATACGAGGAATAAAAGAAATGAAATACAAAACACAAAAATACGGCAGTGGCCTCTGTCTGTGCAGAACAAAATACAAAGAACTAAATCACACAAGGCTCCTTTAAAAAAAATGTGGAAGTGTTACATACATTTTTATAAACACTTACATTCCACAGAAATCGCAGCTCACTTGGAATACTGGAGCACACAGACGATCTCGCAACTTATTCGTTGCATGGAGAAAATGGCCGCTCCACGCTGCACATACGGGTCCTTTGCATCATACATTTCAGAAATACATCATCTTGTTAAAATACTGACGTTTTGCCACTGCACTACAATTATAACAATATGTTTCAATGAGTTATGTGCATATTTAACAATTCCTTACCAATAATTTAACTCCTTCACAACATTCCCGTTCCACATCCACAACAAAAAGAAAAGTAAACAGGAAGTCCCAAGATGCATTTCTTGTTAAGTTTTTTTTTTTGGAAAACTGCAGTTAACCCTTAAGCCTATAGCACAAGGAATACCATTAAATTACCCAATAACATTCTTGTCTTACCATACATGGAAACAAAGAAACAACATTTTAAGACCCCTTTTTGAACCTTAAATGGATATTTGGTTAACTGAAATGGAAAATATTATTATTAATTTACCACTTGGCTACATTTAAAAAACGCACTGAACCTCTGATATAAGCCAAACATATACACTGCTGAGGTCAGAAGTTTACATATATTCGTATCATAATGGGCATAAATGTCTTCTTTAAAAGCCCAAAATCACATGACCTTCATGCCCATGATGAATTCATATAAACTTTTAAACTAACTGTACACTCATTTTGTTTTCATATGTTTTCATTTAAGGGACAGATGTGGTTGTTTTTGCGGCAAAGATGTCTCAAAAATCAACCAGTCCACCTTCATCGCTTATGGCTCACCTTCATTCAGAGTCACATAAACAGAGCATCCTGAACAAATTCAACAAGCTCAGGAAAAGTGACCTGCTGTGTGACATTACTCTTGTCGTGGAGGATGTGCAGTTCAAGGCCCACAAAGCCCTGCTGGCAGCAAGCAGTGAGTACTTCTCCGTCATGTTCACAGCAGAAGATCAGATCCATCGGTCCACCCACCGGCTGGACGGTATGGCACCAAACATGTTTGCAGCAGTGCTGGAGTTCATCTACAGCGCCCAGGTGTCTGTGGAGGAGAGCGCCACAGAGCAGCTCCTGGCCACAGCTCATCGAATGGAAGTCGGTGACCTTGTCAAAGTGCTCACTGACCTAACTCGCTCTGCAGCAGGGGTCAAATGCAATGATGCTCAAGCAAACAAAGCTGAAGATGCAGAGCTGGTGAAGCGCAAAAGAGGGCGGCCGAGGAAAGATGTAGGTGCACCTGTGACAGAGCTGGTGGGGAGAAGAGAACCATGTGAGAGTTCAGAGGACCGACAGGCAGAAGATAATCCAAAAACTGAGTCTCAGCCTAGAAATGAGGACCCCGAAGAACACCAAAGCCGGCAGAGCAAACGCAAAATCAACCCACCGGTAAAATATAAGGGCTACAAAGTGGGCAATAACACAGCAGGACACAAGGAGCCTGGGAAGAGGGGCAGGAAAAGGAAATACCCTGACACTGAGGCACGATGTGAGGACTGTGGAAAAGTCTTCAAAAGCCACCTGTTTTTAAAGATTCACCAGCGCACTCATACAGGTAATTACACTCTGATTTAAAGAGAGGTCAGAATGGAGGTTTAATACAAATTTGGCCTTTTTTTCTAGAGTTTTTGGACATAGTTTAAAAAAAAGGACTTCATTCCCTCAACTGTAATAAAAATAAATGTTTTAATTTTTCAAATGTTGTGCTGAAAAAAGAAAAAAGAAAAATAGAAACACATAGAAAGTACAGATGACTACGACTGACGAGAGTTTAGCAGTCACTAATCACATCCGCACCTGTAAAAGTACAACTACTTTCTTTAACTCCAGGTGAGAAGCCTTTCCACTGCATGGTGTGCGGGAAGAGTTTTACCCAGAAGCACACTCTGCTGGCTCACCAGCGCATGCACACTGGAGAAAAGCCATTTGTTTGTACCGTCTGCTCCAAAGCGCTTTCCACCAAACACTCCCTGCAAGAGCACATGAACCTCCATGAAGGTAGGACCCAATGAACTGACTTCTCAGTTTCTCATGTTTGATAAGTAGTAACTTTGTTTACAAGTAATTTCCAGGAATCCTCATAATTTCCTGAAAGTGATCTTTCCAACAAAGTTGATCTACAGTCTGATTTGAGAAATGTAGAAAGTGTTAGTTGTTGCAGTGATTACATCAGACCTACTATTCTTAGTTTCAGCTGTATTTTTTTTTTTTTTAAATTCGAACAGAGTAGCTTTCAGGATGGCATACGACCCTCCTCACCAGCTTTTTCTTCTGATTGGCTACTTCATTTAAACTTTATCTATATAACGCCTCAAGGCGCTTTATATTGTAAGGTAAAAAGAAATGAACACATTCAGCCGGTACTGAAAGGCTATGTTTCACCAATAGAATGCAAAGCCAAAGCAAATCAGGCACTCCTTAAAGCACCGTCTGACGAGCTGTTCACTGCATTGTGCAGATTGAAGTCCTGGATGTAGCCCAAAAGATTAACACTACACGAACAAGCAGATATAGAACAGATAACAGACCATCAAACCACATTCCAGTGTCTGGACTTGATTCCTAGAAATGGATAGTTATCCATTTCCAGTTATCCACTTTCGATTCAGTGCAAGGGATGTAAACCAGGAACAAATCTTATGCAAACGGTGCTGTACAGTTGTCTTCATTGCAAAGCAACACAGCTAACATATTTAGCCCCTAAAAATGCACAGTGGCAATAACTGTGCTGTATGCAAAAGTCTCATGTGTTATTATAATATAATGAAATACTACATTTTACTTCTATTAGATACACTTGGGCCCAGTAAATACATGCCTTCTTTAACATAAATGAAGCAATGTAGGGGAAAAGCTTTTTACAACTAAGGGGTAAAAAGATGCTCTAAGAAGAATTAAGGTGTTTTGTTTCTCTGGCTAGGAAAACCGGAAGGATTTTCAGTTTACTACCTATTACAACTCTTTTAAATGTGCCCAAAAATCAAATGCCCACATTTTGTGTCTTGCCTGTGCTTTTGATTTACCTAGCTTAATTTGGTGTGAGTTGCCTAGTTTTGGATGGATATTGGCTGTAGAGATGACTTCCTTCTCTTAATGGCACTAAAGCCGAAGTGCTCTAGCATATTGCGATGTTGATCTCTCATGAGCTCTGTTTTATTTGCTTCTTTAGAAGAGAAATCCTTTGACTGTGATAAATGTGGAAAGACCTTCACTCAGAAAAGGCAACTTAAAAGCCATTACAGAGTTCACACAGGTAAGTCATGGGGAAACTGCCAGAGATCTGGTCAGTGTATTCAATCAATCTGAAGGTAAAATTATTGAATCTTTATTTTTAAATAAAGGGAAATCATTGCCAGAATGTGCTCAGTGTCATCACAAGTTTATGGATGCAGCTCAACTGAAAAAGCACGTGAGAACTCATACAGGTAAGATCAGCTCTCCAAGTCATTCTTTTGCTATTGATATCTGCTTTATGGAAGCGTGTGCTGCAGCAGCTGATGGTGTTAACGTTTACACAGGTGAGAAGCCTTTCACTTGTGAAATCTGTGGAAAATGTTTCACAGCCAAGAGCACACTGCAGACTCACATCAGAATCCACAGGTCAGCTGTTATATTTGATTTTCACTCCACTTTTAACAGTTTTTGCTCCCTGCTGTATAATATACGACCCAGGAGGAGACGTGGTCATAACTGCCTCAATATCTGGTTTTGCAGAGGTGAGAAGCCTTATAACTGCAGCATCTGCAAGAAGTCCTTTTCAGACCCCAGTGCAAGACGACGACATGTTGCCTCCCACTCGGGGAAGAAACCCTTCACCTGCTCTTTCTGCAGCCTTTCTTTTACACGCCTGGACAATCTGAAAACACACACCAAATCCCACAACAAGGAGAGAGCTGCGGGTGGAGAGGCCTCATCGGATACTGCAGCAAAAGATGGCTCTGGAGCCCCGCAGGAAGAGGTGCAAAATATCCTTCACCTGCAGCAGTACCAGCTGCCTGCCACCTCTGAACAAGAGCTCCAGGTGGTGGTGACAGAGGATGTGGACCACATTAACTTTATCCCGGGTCAGGACCACGAGATCAGCCTCATCAGCACAGAGGGAGAGATGGCTCAGTCAGCCCCCTCTAAACTCACCCTCCTCGCCCGGCCATCAGGGCACGTGCACAATGTGGCGTTGGTCACTCAGGGTGATGTGGTGGATCAGACCTCTCAGATCCACACTATAAGTATGCTGCAGGGTCAGATGATGCACCAGGCTGAGCAGATGCATGTTATCACTTTGAGTAAAGAGGCTATGGAGCAGCTGCAGGCCCATCACGGTCCTGCGCAGCCCTTTCAAATAACACAGCGTCCCATTCAACAGCTGCAGGTGATGCGTCAGCCAATCCAGCAGCTGCCTGTTGTTCAGGAGCCCTTGGAGGGGCAGGTGAGCAGGGAACAACAACAAGGCCGGGCTATTCACGTCAGCAGCCAGAGCAGCCAACCAATCTCCATCAGTCAGACTAGCGAGCAGATCTCCAACCATCACATCCAAGGACAGACATTTCAGATCCAATCAGGAACTGTGTCCTACCTGTACACCACCGGACTGCCACAGGAGAGCTGAGAGTGATCTGGACCACCGGGAACTTAAATCTGATGGTGCTACTGTGGAGATCAACTATATACAGACAAAACTGACCATAGTCAAAGGTAGCAGTATTAAAAGATGAAGTTTGCAGATCCTTGTTCTTTGCCATATTGCTTAAAAACTGTGGCATGATTAATAATGTGGAACATCTGTCTTAACTCATTCACTGCCATTGACGTCTATAGCCGTCAATTGCAGTGCATGAGTCAATGGGTTTAACTCATTCACTGCCAATGGCTGGCAGTGAATGAGTTAAGTATAGTTTTCCTTTAATTGGGCTCACCTGGTTAACTAATTACGACAGGTGTCTGAGATTGATATGAGTGATCCAAAGAGCCCCCAGACACAAAGGTGTTGAACCAAAAACCTTCTGGTTATTGCTTTGGTTGCAAGCAGATTGCCATGGTTACCTGGAGTTTTTCATGTCTGATGGCAAATACTTGCCAGCTACTGGCCAACTGATAGTACATCATGATAAAGTCGGACACAAACCAGAAAAGGAGAAGGTTCGACTTCAAAGTAGAAGTTTGCTTCAGTGCTGCAGCAATCATGTGTCAAAGGGCGCCACTTTTACTGGCATGTGTCTGTAGACAAATCTGTCACTTCCATTCGAATGCAGCACTATCTTACTCGCCAAAAGCAGTCACAAAGAGCCTTTTATCATCCAGCTGGGGAATACAGCGACAGTTGATCCTACATCATCAGCATCACTGTCAAACACCCAAAATGATGCTGAAGTTAATGACATGTTGTTAGTGGCCATGTGTGAAAACCCTTGAGGCCTTTGAGGACATCAGCTGGATGCAGCACTTAGATCTCAGTCCATGACACGAAAGGCAGGAATATCAGGAGCCATAATGGAGGAACTCCCAAACAAACAAATGTGATATTTTTCAGTTTCCAGGTTTGAAAAGTGAAAAGTGTCTTAAACCTGAATTTGTATTTATTGGTATTTAATCATTTTATTAATTACTGTAAAATTGGTGATAATAAAGCGGGTAGCTTTTGCAGGTATGGCTGGTTCCAAGATCCTCACTTCCAAAACGCTCAATTCGAGTCTTTAAAAGGTTTGTTCACAATCAAATGGTTGATATAAACATGGCTATCTCCACCTTTTATGTACAGTCTGAACAGAAGACAGTTACTATGCAACAGATGCTAAACAGTTATTATTTTAATGATTTTTTTAGCGCTTATGACAAAACAGGTTTTGTTTTTGCCCACTTAAAAACGTCATCATTTGGTTTTATTTCATAAGATGTGACCAAACTCATTCTACAACTGAAAAATGAACTTTGAGATGATTCCTTTGATAAATTTGCAATAAGCTCAAATTGGTATATATCTAATATGAGTATTAGAAACCTTAAGTAGACACGATGTAATGCTATTAATTGACAAAAGTTAAGTACGGATAAAAATAAAGGCAAATTATAGAAATATCCAGAAAGTAAAATATCAGTGATAAGGGTTTTGTTAAGAGCTTTGAAAGTATTTATTTTGAATATTTAAAAAGTTACTGAAATATGGAGAGGGGCAACATCAAGATGCTGTGCTGTAGGTTAAAGGGAAGACATGCATGTCACAGCTTTGGGAATGGAATAGATAACATTCAGTTCACACAGAGCTATAAAACACTACAGGCAAGCCTACAGCAAGCTAATCTGCTAATCAAGTTTGTGTGTGTGACTGATTGCTGCACCTCACAGATCTGGGAACAAAGCCTCGGCTATCGGGAGGCGCAGGCGACACAGATCCTGAAAGAGAAACAAAGGCGGATTCAAGCTGAACATCTAAGAGATAAAACTGGGCACCCTGCTATACCCGTCTGACGAAACAGATCCAGATTGTCTTTAATGTGAAGAGGCAGTCCCTGCTGCTCAGAATTTCACACTTAAAGACACCTGCTAAAGTATTTATACCTACACTCTATATCCATACTGGTACTCAGGTTGTTGCACTCAACTTATCGTCTTATTTTATTACTTGTTATTCTGTTTGTTAAAAAACAAAACAAAAGACCAACAACTATTATTTATTACTTTAAAAAAAATCTGTTTCTTCATTATTATTATTATTTTTTTCACTCCAGGACCGTGTGTGCATAATTTCTTTCCACCTCATGTTAACTTGTGATGCGAATGACAATAAAGCTCCTTGAATCTTTGAAGATGGGTGACCACAAAAGCATTCACACATTCTTGACCTTGAAACCAGCAATGTACTGTCTCGCTTTACGTTCACCATTTAGTAGTTGTCCTATTATTATGTAGACGTAATCTTCATTAGTTGGGACACCAGTGAATTCAATATGCTTTAAAACTCCAAAATGTACCGTGCTGTAAAAAAGTATCTCCCCACCCACCTTCTTGTTTTTTACATTAGAGATGAAACAAGTTTTTAAATGATTATTTCACTCACTGCTTTAGATCTGTCTGTGCTCATGTTTGAAAGACCTCTGGCTGTTTCTGCTCTCTGCTGTCTTGGCTCTGTTGCAAAGTCCTGAGGTGTGGTGTAGTTTGTGAGGCTGCCAGGCTGCAGGGCTGAATGCAGCCTGTTCCGGTGCAGACCTGTGCACACAGAAATAGAACAGAGTGAGAGCTATGCTGCAGTGTGAAAATAACATCTATAAAGTAATTTAAAATGTCATCACAAAAAGATATGAGTGTCTGGATAATCTGATGGCTTTCGATTTCACTCATGAACCGCATGAGCAGCTTTACATTATTGCTTCACTGCTCTGAGATGAAGGTGGTGGGCTCAGTACCTGTCGAGGGACTTCTAGTACTCAGTCTGCTGACTGACAGCGTGGAATAAGTCCTGCTTTGACCTGTGATATAACGATACCGAGAAAGTAGGAGTGAAATGTCAAGTCAAGAATGTCTGAAGCAGACAAAATCTTACAGGCAAAGCGAGCTGTTGGTCTGTCATCCTGTTGAGTATCAGCAGAGCCTGGAAGGCTTTTACCTGCTGTCGAAGCTCCTCTGGAGAGAGCTGCCTCCACATCGTTCATCTGGTTCTGCAGTTTATCCAGCTGCTGAAAGGCCTCTTGTTTAAGGCTGCACTGCTGCTGTAGCTGCCCCCTCACCTGGACCCCAACAATGTGGTTAAAAGTTGTTTTTTTTATTCCTGCTTAAATTTAAAATGAAAACACCATGTGCATTGATATTGACTTGACAGATCTATCACCAGAATGAGGCCAAGACTAACTCTGTATCTGTAAGTATCTCTACAGGATTTTTGCACCAAGGCACTGCAAAAATCCTTTAACCTCTCATCCAAGAGGCTTCTTCAGTTCTGCAAACTGATGAAGAGACTCAGGTATTCAACCCCTCGTGGATTTGTCCCATTGGAGGTGGTCCTGAGAGTCGTGTCATCACGCAATCCATTAAGGTCACGTGGTCAAAGTGTGACTGTTGAATCACATGGGATCTCAAGACTGCATTATACAGTTCTGTTAAAAATTGTCCCTTTCCTGTTTTTTTCCCCCCCATTTTTTTGTCACACATGTTTCAATATTAGACACAGATAACCCGTGTAAATACAAAATGCAGTTTTAAATGATTATTTAATTAACCGGGGGGGGGGGGGGGGGGGGGGGGGGGGGGGGGTGTTACCTGGCCCTGTGTGAAAAATATAATTACCCCCTTTTTAAATCATGAAATGACTGTGAGCAACCTTTTTTTTTTTTTTTTTATCTTGCCCAATGATACTTGGCATGCAGACTGGAGGAGCCAGGGATCAAACTGCCAACCTGCCGATCAGTAGGTGACCTGCTCTACCTCCTGAGCTACAGCCACCCCTTTAATTTGCATTATATTAATATTAGACAAAGGTAACCCCAAGTATATACAAAAATATCACTTTTTAAATGATGAATTCATCTCAATTGGATTTAGGTCTGGACTTTTATCCTACATCACTCTGTCAGATTTTTGCCAGATTTTTGGCAGTGGCTAGTGAAAAACTTTAAAAGCAAATAGCTAACCCCAAGTTGCTCTCCGATGCAGCTATCGGAGTGTGAATGTTGTTAGAAAAGCACTCAGTTTAGAGTCAGTGCTTGTGAGAATGGGTGTGATTGGGTGAATGTGGCATGTTGTATACAGCGCTTTGAGTACGCCGGGAGAGTAGAAAAGCGCTATATAAGAATCGCTCCACTTACCATTTACAGATAGGAGATCAGGAGGGAGGTATTAATTGAGGTTTCTGATAGCTGGTTTTGGAGGGCATTGTGCCTTTTCAATGAGAGTCGTTCAGAGTGGACATTGATGGCTTCTCAGGCCAAAGTATGAACATTATCATCCTGAAAACAGTCTGTCCTGATGAGTTCTTCTCTGCTGAGCCATCAGTCTGTGGAGTGGTTGTCTGGTTTCCCGTGTAACGTTATGAGCACTCCTTGCTGCACTGAGCAGCACACACTACGTTGCTTAGATTGTGTTTGTGCCTTTGGGATGAACCAGTGCTTTTCTAAAGGTGTTGCTGGATTTGACATACACTTGCATGTTATACTGAGTTGTTCCATCATAATTTCTTAGAAATGTAATTTCTGACAAGCCTGCCCAGCGATCAAGAACCACACCTTGATTCACAGTTTGGATCATATGACCATTAATAACTCAAGTGGTTGCGGGGTGGATCAGTGACTTTCTGCATAACCTCCATGGTGGGTAAATATCTGGGACTCTACACTGGAACTGAAGAAGCTTCTTGGATGAAGCGAAAAGTCTTCATGAATTGAAAAGAAGTCCAACTAGTGCTGAAGACTACCATGACCTGAAAGACTGAGAACCTACAGATATAGTCTGTTAATTGGTTTTATTTGACTCTCAGTTAAGATGTTCAGAGGTTGATTTACTTAAAATACCACGATCTTTTTAAAAATTGTATTTCTTTGGATGATCTATTTAAAATCCACTGACCACAGGTTTTTTTTTTAGCTCATGAAAAGTGGATTTTTTTTAGGGTTTGCACAGAAGACAGCCTGCAATCAGTGGTGCATAACACATTAATTAACGTACAGACCTGCCGGATCTCTTTGGCACTGCGCTCTCTTTGTAGCCTGTTTATCCTGCTGCCTCTGTCCAGCTGCTCACCGAGGGCCCTGAGCTGTCTGTCTCTATCCTCCATGTCGGCTCTCATTTGTTCCAAGGTCTGCACTAGATGAGCGTCCAGCTCCTGTCTGCTGCGGGCTTCCCGTGCAGACCGATGCCTGAACACCTGGAGCTCCTCTGTGAGCGAGAACCAGCAAACATTCAGTGAATATATCCAGGCTTCTTCTCCTGACAGCTCTTGCCACTGTCAAAACTGAAAATGCACAGCTTTACATGAATTAGGAAGTCTATGTGAGCGAAATGTGATTTAAACACTTCAAGATGTGCAGTGAGCCTCCAAAAACCCAGATCCTGTCCTCAGAGATCCAAAAAAGCCAACAAGAGAAACCTAGAGAAGCTGCAATATAATGTAAGTGTCTGTAGGATCAGCAACGAGGCAAAAAATGTAGTTAACTTTTAAAATCCTGGCATTTTAAAATAAACCTGCACTGCTTCTGAAAGCATTCAACAGCACCTTCACCAAGCTTAAGAAATACAAACCAAACATTTCATAGTTTTAATGAATTTCAGAGTATTTGCAGTTTCAGCTGATGTTAACTGATGTAGAAGGTGTGGATAGGAGTGCATGTACCTTCCTGCTGAGCTGCTTCTTGATGCTGCTGCATTCGGCCTGAGAGCAGGTCAGCGCCTGCTGTGCAAAGTCCAGCTCCCCCTGCAGGAGAGCCATCTTATCCTCTGATAACATTTTCACTCTGAGAGCCTCAGTGCGAGTGGTAACCTCCCTCTGCAAAATGACCAGTGTGGTATGAGTTCATAAATGTATAAATATGGGCTTAGAAAAATAATGCAAAGCTGACAAAATTAGTGAGGATTAACCAGGTCAAGCAAAAGAAAACATTAAACTTTTAAATTGCAGTACATGAGTACATGTAACATTGTTACATTATTTGTTTAAATCCTACAACTAAGCATATTCATGCTTTTCCCTTTTACTTGATGGCCTCATGATCCCTCCCTGCAAGAGGTAAAGCTAATTTCTGATTGCTGAATATTTCTTCATCCTGCTGCTAACCTGCTTGGTTTGGAGCAGTTGCCTGTGAAGTTTCTCCTGGTCGACCACCTTCCTCCAGCATCTCAGAGCCTTCAGTTTACAGAGCAGAGCAGTCAGCCGGCTGTTCTCCAGCTTCAACTCGTGGACTTCTTCCTTCTTAAGATAACAGGTATGAAAGTGGTACAATTCACAGATCATCTTCAATACTTCTGCTCTTTTTAACTACCTACACATAAAAACTTTCCGTACCTTTAACTGTGTGAGGGCGAGTCCATCATTGTCTTTGGTGCAGCCGTACCTCTTCTTGAGCTTGATGATCTTGTCCACTCCTTCCCCCCGTGCTCTGTTCACTATCACACTTATGTCCCGCCTCATTTGTCGGGGATATTCATCAAGTCTGGCCTGAAAGCCAAACAAAATTACCAAACAAGTCTTTAACAAATCAAAATGTGAGATATGACAAAATAACACTTGTTTATGTATTTCAGGAATAAAGAACTAAAGAATAAGCAACGTTTTATCACATAGTTTAAAGTTATTGTCCAATCAATTATATTTCTATAGCATCAACAACAGTCACAACAAGGTGCATTATATTGCATGGTAAAGATCTTACAATATTATAAAGAGAACACCAACAATCAGATGTTAGCAAATTATTATGGTACAGAGAAACTTCTGAGAAAGTGTCATTCAACCACTTTCTGCTCAAATATGATATATGAAAAGGGCAAGTATATATTCTAGTTATAAAGAAACAGTACACTTACCAGCCACTTTGTCGTTTTCACCACTTCAGCTACTTGCTAACACAAAACTGGTGAAAACTACAGAGTCACACCGTGTCACTTCTGCCAGCTAAGAACTCAAAACGGAGGCTAAAATTTGCATAATCTCACAGAAGAGTGAAAAAAACTCGTCTGATGGGTCTTAATTTCTACTACAACATTTGGATGTCGAGGGTGAAAGTTTTGCTGTAGCCCTTTAACAGGGGGCCTTGTTCTTTCACCTTTAACTGGATGCAGGTAGAGAAAAGGTGTCGGACCAGAGGGTGGTAGCGTTCTTTGAATGTGAGGCCGAGCTGTTCCTCTAAATTAATTTTCTCTTCTTCCAGGTGAGCAACTTGGGCCCACAGGGCTGAGACCTCCAACATCATCCCACGGCATAAATCTGCCACCTGTGGATTAATAGAGCTCAAAAGTAGTTTTGTTTGAAAGCTCTCGATCTCAAACATGACTTACATTCCTAAAGCAGCTCAAATCTGCTTTTCTGCTACTAACTCACAAAATCATAGAGGCTACAGATGGGAATCACTGTGTGTACCTCTTTGTGAGAATTACTTGTCTGAGCGTCCTTCAGACTTTTCAAATCCTGCAGTTAAAATGGTAAAAGATAATAGATTTCATTTTTTTAAAAATATAAACTGCCAATAATATATTTACTCCGATAAAAAGATATTCCACACATGTACCTGTTCTCTCTGGTACAGAAGCTGAGTGTGCTGCTGCAGGATTTGTTCATAAAACTGTGAGTAAAGCAGAAAGCATTGGCGCTCTCGCTCCATCACTGTGGAGCAGAGGTGAGTGAGACACTGCTGCAGATGATCCCGAGAGACCTTCAGCTAAAAAAAGAAAACCAAGAGTATTATTAATGAATATCTAAAGTTTAGCAATTTGCATTAATACTCTATTCCCCCCATTCTTTGGGATATAAGTTTTAATAGTCAACAAGCTGCACTGTTATATTCTCTATGTGTTGGCATTTCTTCACACAATACATGTGAAAGAGATACAAGAGTAGTCAGAAGGAAATTAATGTCATCGTAATTTTAGGCTTTTAATGATGTCTTTCAACTGCTCTTTTTCCAGGGTAGAATTATTGTAGAGCATAAAAACAAGAAGGGGTTTCTTTATCCATACAGAGTCAAATATATACAGAGACCCCCACTGATATTTGGTTAAATGTCATTTAGCAAAGTTACACTTCAACCAGACACTTTTAGAAGCCATCGATGAGTTTCTGGTGTAATTGTTGTATTTGTGTATTTGACCACCTCTCTTGGTAGAGTTCATTTAAATTTGTTGGTTTCCTGGCATGGACCTGGCTTTTAAGCGCAGCCCATGAGTAAAAGCGCTACACAAATACAAGCCATTTACCATTTTACCATAAGTTTTCAATAGTTGAAGAATTTGGAGTTAGCCCTCTTCCTTCATTATTGCATCCACTTTGTGTGATGTAGCAGTACCACTGGAAGCAAAACAGCCCCCAGACCATGATGCTACCACCACCGTGCTGGACAGCTGGCACTGTGTTCTTAGGTTAGAAAGCATCACAATCACTCCTACAAACACATCTCTTGTCATTTAGGCCAAATATATGGTGGCCCTGAGAGGCCAAATGGACTGCAACTTAAGAAAACACCAGCAATAAGAAAAACGCTGCAAAAGCACGCAAAACACAACGGAAATAGGAAAAACAAAAACAGAAATAGGAAAAAGTGTTGCGCTGGGAGACACCTAAAAGAAGTGGGGGATCTATCACTTTTGTGAGGAAAGAAAAGATGACAGGTAAGTGTGTTAGCCTAACTATTAGCCTAAAAATCCATCATCAGTATTATATGAATCATGATAAAACACACCTAGCATGTTTTGGGTTCCTGCAACTGGTTCGTTGGGTTATTGTCTCCCCAGAAACTTCCACACTTCCTCTGTGCTTTTAGAAATCTGTTTTCTTTTTTCCTATTTCAGTTTTTCCCTATTTCTGTTGTGTTTTGTGCGCTTTTGCAGCGTTTTTCTTATTGCTGGTGTTTTCTTAAGTTGCAGTCCATTTGGCCTCTCAGGGCCACCGTACAAATAGCTCAATCATTGTCACGTCTGTCATCACTGATGAGAAGTTTACATGTTGTGAAGTTAAAAGCTATTGAAGAGCCTTCAACACCACTTATAACTGCTGTAGGAACAGTTCAAAGAAATCAATAAAAGGCCTGAATAACCATAGCATTCATTACCTCAAGTGTGAAGACATTACTGGTCACAACAGCAGCTTGTAAACATTTAGTTGCATGTAAAAATGTTGCTTTTAGAGAAAACTTCCCCTTAATTTTTAACTTTTTAAAAAGAGTTTGTACATTACTCCACATACCCTCTGTGGGAAACGTGATTGCCACCTTTATTTTGCAGACTCGAGGAAGAAGAAACCTGGTGGAAATGGACTGATTACCTTCTCTTTCTAAAATAAGACATAATTTCTCAAACACCTGTCAAATAAAACGTCTACCTAAAGCTGATACCAAGCAACACCTCATGTTCCCTGTCCCACATGTTTGCATAATTAACTGAGCATGTTCCCACTCCTTTCTCCTCTTCTTATGGACAGGAAAGCAGTTAACTAAACAACTTCACTTTCTTCCTGTGCACTGGAAATGATAGGAATAAGCAGCACATTTTGCATGTTTTTCCAAATACTTTGTGTACTTGGGGCTGTTAGAAATGATAATGATAGCGCTGGAGTGCAACCAGCTTGTATAATCAGCTCAGGAGAAATGGCAGCCTTTGTAGAGCAAGCATTTAAGGTATTTAGTGTGTTTTTGAAGGCATGCCTTAGCAGAGCAGGGTTTTAAGAGCATTATAAAGCCCACATTTGAAATAACAATGAATGCAAGTAGATAAAATACACAGGTTTGAGTTTCTTTTTCAGCAGAGATCCTACACAGTAATCAGAAGCCTGTCAACAGTAGCAGCACATTATTAAAAGACTTTAGGGGAGAACAAAGCATCAGTGGGTATTTTCCCTACCTCTCCCTCCGACTGCTCAGCTCCCTGCATCAGCTGTTGGATGAATGTTTCCACCATCTGTGGCTTCTCACGGGACAAACTGTACTTCATTTGACTTCTTTTCCACAGCTCTGCTTACATGTGGAAACATTATGTAACTGCAATCATATAGTTAATAGTAAAAATATTTTTGAATGGGTATTTAAAGGTAGATTCAGTGGTGTTTATGCGCACCTGTGGGGAGCCGATTATCTTGTTGAGTTTTCTCTGAAAGCACTAGTGTGAGCTCTCTGCTCATCTTTCTCTGCACTGCTCTAATCATGTCGCACTCTGTGCTCTCCATCAGCAGGTGGAGCTGGAAAAAGTAGATTTTGCAGCACTGTAAGTTCTTGTTATTATGACATGATGATTTAATTGTGCAGTTTTCATTGTGCTTGTACCTGCCAGGCTTTCACATCAACCTCTGAAGCTCCAGGAGGGGGCAGAAGAGACTGGGTGCCAGAGATTAAAACCTCATAGTGATGCTCTTTATCCATTTGTTTAGCCAGAGCTCTCATACTGGGGTAAAAGATTTCATCTCTAAAAACAAAGTGAATAATTGCTGTAAAACAATGATTGAATTAGAAAGACCTAAGCATACCTTACATTATCCTAAAACAACATTAACTTTGTTGTCACAAAAACAATTATTTTCTGATATGAGTAAATAACATTATTTGAGTGTCTGATTTTTGATATTCCTTAATTACCGGTAAAGTTTTACAAACTGTTGATACAAAGCAGGTGTACTGAAGACATCGGCGCCTAAACGTCTTAGAGCCCATCTCTCCTTGAAGACCTCCAGCTGCTTTGTCAGCAGGAGAAAACCTTTCAGCACAGACTGGACTCTGATTGGATCTTGAAGGTTTGAGGAATTGATCTTTATCTCCTCTTCTTCATCATCTTCACTGCAGCTTTTATTTCCCTGCAATAAAAAAGGAATAGTTACCAAATCAGCAATCTTAGTAATTTACTTACAATTTTATTCACTAATGTGTGAACCCTAATGTGGAAGCGTCACTGGTATGACCTTGTTAGAAACTGTCGCTACTTCATTAGGTGTGCCACTATGCTGAAGGTCATCTTTGTTGCCATGGAGACGAACAGGCTCTGCCTCTCTTCCACCGTTCAGGACGTCCTCCATGAGCAGGGACACCCCAAGGATTGCAGCATTGGCCTGCAGTCTGCTGCGACTGCTCAGGCTGCTCAAACAGAGCTGCAAATAACCATGAAATCTTTTTAACTATCACTGGGAGAGTTTAACGATGCATTAAAAAAACCAAAACAAACAAAGCTGTGTAGTTGGTTAAGGACAATACAAGAAAGAAGTCCGCACCCATATTTGTATAAATAAAGATAGGAAATACAACGACTTTCTTTTTAGCAGATGATCATGAATTTACTTGAGCATTTTTCTCTTAATGATAACAATACTGAGGTCCCATCTGTTTAGTGTCACACCACAACAGCAGTCACCTCAGTGTGCTTCATATTTTAATGTAAAGTCTCCACAATAATCCAGAGAAGATCCAAACAATCACAAAACCCATATGAGCAAGCACTTGGTGAAAGTGGGAAGGAAAAACTCCTTTTAACAGGAAGAAACTTCCAGAATTATGACATATTGATGGCAAAATATATTTTTGGTTGGAAACATGATTCATACACAAGACCAAATCTACCAAGTCTCATCAGCACCATTAACAGGTGAAAAAAAAAAAAAGCATATGAGGTGGTGAACCTGCATGCAGTGTTCAGTAGGTGGGACATCCCAAACATGAAGAGGGAGCAGTCCATGACAGGCTATGAAACTCCTCCATGGATACATCCTCTGTGCCTGCAGCAGACAAAGGCACAGAAAGATGACGTGACAGAGCACATTTCCTCTCATCCTCTCAAGTGTTTTCATGTTTTTTGAAAACATATGTTAGGATGGTTTTCTAAAATGATTATATGAGGTCACCACCTGACAGCCTTGATTCTCCAAAGGTTGAGGAACGGGCAGCGTGAGACTGAAGACGTCAGTCTGGATGCAGCCAATCATTGGAGGGAGAGCGTTCGCCATGTTGTCATTTACACTCTGGCAGGAAGTAACATCACCAGAGGAGAGGAAAGCCTCCCTAGACATGATAAACATACTTTCATTATTAAGGTTTATTAAGCTGTGATAGAAGAGTGATGGAGGGAAACTTCAGGCGAGTAACTGGAAAAAACAAAAAACAAAAACTGATACCGCAAAAGCTTTGAGTTGTTGAAATATTTGAATTGGCCAAACACCTCACATCACCCAGCAGTGGAAAACGCATCAACATGAACTAATCACTAAATTTAAGCCATACTTTTCTTTATGTTTTTAAAATATTATACACTATTTTTTTAAAGCATGTTTCTTTTGCAAAATTTGAAAATGTTTTCTATTAAATGCTGGTATTTTTTTTAAATCAATGAAAACTGCATCATAACAAAGGAAACCATAAAACCAAACACAGAAAAGAAAAAAGTAAAACAGCCTTTAAATATCTTTGTCATGGAGAAAGTGTCAGTATGGTAGCAGACAGCTGAGGGAAGTGACGATTTCACCGCTGACCTGACAAAGATTCTGACAGCAGTATCAAACTGCAGCAGGAGGACCTGCCTGCGCAGCTGCAGCAGGCGGCCGACAGACTCCAGGTTGCTGGGATCAGAGAGATGATCAACCTGCTGCTGGAGCTCCTGCAACTCTGTTCCTGTACAGCACCCAGAGAGGAAAAAACAAATGTGTGAATGGCTGTCCAAATCCAGGTTTTTCTTTCCTACTATATCACCTGGTCCCTGGTTATACCTGAAATGCAAAGATGGTTAAATGAATATGAAAGTTGTATGGCCAGTTCAGTCTGAACCGATAGGAAGGCAAAAGTAACTCTCTCTCCTCTTATCTAAGAATGGAAAAATAATATTTCATGCATCCGCAGTCACCAGATCTCAGTTCTATGGAGCACTTTTGGGATGTGGTGCATTGGGAGATTCACATCATGGACGTGCAGCCAATAAATCTGCAGCAACTGTGTGATGCTGTCATGTCAGAACAAACCAAATTTTTACATTAAAAAAAGATGTATTTATTCTGTCATGTGTCAATTTTGAGTCATTCCATCCTATTCACTCTCAGCATTGCATGAGAGATCCCTAAACATTACCATTACTACAATTCTTTTGGAACGCTTCATTTATAAAATAAACCTACCGATGCTTTCAGCGCCTCCCCAGTCAGCCGCCAGAAGTGACCCTGCTGCATCATGTCCTCTCCCCCATTTTAAAGAGTCTTGTCTGTTTCCCAGTTTGGAGAAGCTGATCAGGTAATGAATGATGCCATGAAGAGCTGACACGATCTGCAGAGTGTGACGGAGAGCCTCATCACATGCCTAATGAAATCAGACCAGAAGAGAGTTAAAGGCCAGAGAAAGAAAGTGTTAACATGCGTCTCTCCTCCACCAACATGGTGAAGAACAAAAACAGATCTGCTCTAAAATTAGTTCATGGCATGAGAAACTGAAAGCTAAAGTTATCACCCTGTGACCTGCTGTAATATTAGTCTCAGTGACAAGTTTAAGTGTCTCACCGAAACATTAAGTGTTTTGAACATGCGAAGCACTTCAGTGAAGTGGGGGATGTACCAGAGGTTGAGGAGAGTTCTTCCATCTGCACACAACAACTGCTGAAAAATCCTGTTTGGGAGACAGCTTGGTTTGAAAATCTTCCCCGGATACAACTGAAGAAACATCTGTACCAAAATGCACAAACTTGGCATTTTGGCTCAAATTCTTTAAACAAGTTTCACCGTACTATAACCAGGACACAAATAAAACGTGGATAATCACTCTTGAATGCTTAGAGGTTGTACCTGGGGTCAGAACAACGATCAGCAACCGGCTGTCCAATCATGAAGTAGGACTGACGAATGTAGGGAATGTCTTCCAAGAGAAAGGTCAGATTGTGGTAATATCCAACAATCTGAGCTCTCACACAGTGCATAGACATTTGTGTGCTGAATCTGAGAAAAAACATTTTGAAGAACCTTACTATCATAGAAAAAACTCAGTAAAGCTCAGGTTGTCTGTTTTAACAAAAAAAGGATGCCAGAGAACATACTTCCTGAGAAAGTCGATTATGAGCTCCCTTTTGATCTTTGCAGCCTCCTCCTGCAGAGTGAGACAAATTAATTTTACTTCATGAACAGCCAATCACATTTATCATCCTGCTCAGCCACCTGCGTGCATCTCACCGGGGTTTTTAGGAACCCCCCAACGGCCTGTTTCTTCTTCACAAATGAATTCAGCATCTCGTCACACAGACCCACTTTTTCCAGCTGGATGGACACAAATGCGCCCATCACCCTGAAGGAACAAATGAGATTTTATATCATAAAGAGCAAAAAAAAAAAGTGTTAATCACTACTGGTGTAGTTTGTCCTGTAAGTCAATACCGCTTTTTTGTGGAAGTTCCTGTGGAGGGTTTGGAGTGAAAAGATTTATATTGTTCCTGCAGGCCGCCTGTGTGGCTGCCAGAGCCAGAGTTGCATGTTACATCTTTGTCTTCCCTCTGAGATTAATAAAGAAGATAAGAAAAATATTTCAACAGCTGTGTGTTTATATAAAAGCATTAAAAAAAATAACACCACAGTATTCAGACTCTTTTGTTCAGTACAAAGAGTCATAAATACATGCTATTACTAATAAATCAGCATGTAAACACTATTATTCTCAGATGTTGGACCTAACTAACCCTTAGGCAGTATTCATATTATTGTTACTCAGCCTGTGTTTTCCAGCCCAATGGATCCACCGTATTGTGCCGTTTTCAAATCAACAACCATAAAAATGTATGCCAAAACAAAACAGATGTTTATTTTATCCCAATTCCATCCACATACAGAGCACACATACAGTTAATATTTCACACACACATTGAGGCTTTTCTTTTTATTGCCTCTGGATCTAGAACATAATTTCGACCAGGGAACGTCTGATCAGGATGATTTCATTTGATGTCCTGCACAACAATGCCCATTCAGTCCCATCATGTATTTGAAGTCCAGTGTGAAGTCATTAAGACTGTTATTTTGACAGGTTCTTCACAGGAAAGGCAAATACTCCAAGTTGAAATTACTTTTCATCAGAGAGCAACACAAACCTCGGCTGAAGATGAGTCACTTTCTGCCCAAAGACAAAGTCGAGCCAGTTTGACCGCACTCGTCAAGGCGTTCTTCTGTGTAACCTGACAGGCCAACGCCACCTGGAGGTTCTTGATACTCTGTCTGTTCATAAGCTAGGAAAAGCAACACATGAAAGTATTTGTGTGTATTAATTTATTTTCTGATAAGCCTTAATGTTTACTTTAATCTCACATGGATAACTGCTTCCTCTGAGCTGAAGCTAAATCTGATCTGGTTCTCGTCCAGTTCCTGGATGCTCAGAGGCAGATGGGATGGGATGAGCCTGCAGCAGAAAGTCCTCTTTAATTTTCTTTCAAACACAGTTTACTGCTTTTGTAAAGAAGCTGAAATAGACATTGCTAGATTGCTTAAGAGAAGTCCTAACATCTTTTTGACAGCTTCTCTCAAACATGTCTGGTTTTTAATATACAGCAGACTTTTTAGTTAAAGAGAATAAAATTCCAGCTTTCAGCTATTATGAAAATGAAGATTTATTTGGAAAATCAGATGTAGTTATGTTTTACCTGTCCACACAGCTGTCGTCCTCCAGGATTTCTGTGATACAAAAAGGCCTCTGCTGGACTCTGACTTTCTGATCAGTACACTCAAACTGCAGCGGCCTCAGATACAGGTGGAACTCCTCAAAGCCGAACTCTAAGGCCACATTTCTGTACAGCCTGAGAAAAAATGTTACGTTACATTACTCATTTAATTCAAACTGGTTAATCCTGGCTGCACAGAAATGTTAACATATCAGCAAAGAGCCAGTATAACCTAACAACAGCTGTAGTTTAATAGAAACTGGATTCTTCTTATCCTGGGAGGGTTTAAAGTTTTAAACAACTTTAAAATTGTTCCAGAAACTTTTTTTTGCTAAAAGAAAAAGGTGCAGTGGGTGAAGACAAATGTCAGTGACAGGATAGCATCAAGAGTGAAAGGGAAAATTTACAAAATTAACAAGTGATGTATAGTTTGAGGATGTTGGCACTGACAAAAAAGACAGCAGGCAGAGCTGAAAATGTCAAGATTTCCATTGGGAGAGACCAGCATGGACAAGAATAAACATGACTACATCAGAGGGACAGCACCGGTTTGGAGAAAGAGTTAAAAAACAAAAGGACGAGATGGTTTGGAAATGTGCAGAATTGGTATAGTGGATATATTGGATAAAAGGTGTTGAACTTGGAGCTGCCAGACGGAAAGAGGAAGAGGAAGAAAAGCCGTGGATGTAGTGAAGGAGGTGCGACAGAGAAGTATGAAATGTAAAAATGTAGGAAATTAAAAGTGGAAAGTTGTTTGTGTTATCATGCTATATAAAACTTAAATGTGTTAGGTTGCAGCTGGATATGTTTGGGTGTAAATATAATAACTCTTTGAAGTAACCTTTGAAGCTCATTTCTGAACTGAGCAGTTTGTTATATGTCAGGTATGTTTATAGAACAAAACAACTGGGTTTTCATCAGAACTTGATGATTGGCTGAAAAACCTGCAAACTGTTTAATATTTAGCAAACCACCTCTTTATTGATGCATAGTGAGGTGTCAAAACTTGTTACTAAGGGTACAAAGGACTTTGTCAAATGTGATCTTCATGGGGGGAAAAGGAGTTAAATAAAAGGTCCAGAACCTATTGTAAATAGAGATGGCACGATACCACTTTTTTATGTCCGATACCGATACCGATATCATAAATTTGGATATCTGCCGATACCGATATGAATCCGATATGGTGTTTTTTAATCAACAAAACTGTTTTTTAAATATCTTGCTGCATTTTGTATAAGTTCATACTCAAGTTTAAAACAACAACTACACTAAAGCTATTCTGTTATACCTGTATGCAAAAAAAAATATTTCATAGTACAGCAATACTGATCAATCTAATAAACTTAAACCTACACCATCCTCCCTATTCTGGTATTTTAAAGAGTACTTAGCATAAATATTAAGCAACCTAACTAATAGGGTTCCAACTCCCAGCAACAACAAAAATAAATAAATAAAAAATAGGGAACCACCCCTCACGCTCCACCTCATGATGCTTAATCGCCGTAATCAACCTTAATTTGATGCAGTGTGAAAAAAAATGCGCAGAAATCAATTATTTTTCAAGAAATATTAAATAGATTCAACATCTTTCTTCAACAAAATTGCAGACTGCACAGATGGTACCTTCCCAAAGGAAAAAGTACTATAGCTTACTAGGGTATATTAGACTTAATAGTTACTATATACAGTAATGGACTTCTATTCATTTTGCATCAAATTAAAACTTTGGGTGTCAGATAATTATTTATTAAAACCTAGACATTTTAAATGAGAATAAGAAAGAAAAGTATGTCTTTGTGCCCCCTTTTCCCTGTTAATGCCCTATCGGCCCCCCTGGCTAAACTTTGCTAGATCCGCCCCTGCACAGTTACCAGCCGTCAGCTACGTAGAAAAAGATCCTGGAGTAGAAAGTAATATTAAATAAATTCTAACAACAGCTTATAGAGCTTAAACGTGCTGCTGTTGTTCAGCCGCTGGTTTCCTCTTTCTGGTGCAAAGTGGGCCAAAAGCAAACAAGAGACACGGACTCGCGACAGAAAAGCCGATCAGCTGATCGTTAAGCAGTTTCATGATTGAAGTAGCAGCAAGAAGAGGCAGTCGCTTGTTAAGCTTAACGCAGGAATGCTTTACAAACATTCAGAGATGGACTTACACACTTGCTTTACTTCTCTCGGGGATAACTTTGTCGGAGATGAAATGCCGGGTTGCTAGCAAGCTCCAAATGCTATCCAGACCACCGACAGGTCCCGCATGCCACAGCCGCTCTATCACGTGATGCATACTGCTCCGACGTGCTAACCTGAGGTGAGTTACGGCGTGTTGCAAGTTTTGTGAGGTGCTTTCGTGATATTTAATGGATCGGATTACATTTTTTATTTTTCTCCGATATCCGATCCAGTAATTTAGGTCAGTATCGGAACGATACCGATACGTAATATCGGATCGGTCCATCTCTAATTGTAAATACCCCTGCCCCTCTGCTGTGAGTGTTTTCTTAACTGTGCCAGATGTGCCGTCTCTGAGGCAGATTCCAGCAGGCGATGGCGGATGCTCATAAGCTCCAGCAGCATGGACAATGTTTCTACAGCACAGTCTGTCAGCTTGTCTGGTCCTTGCTTCATGTCCCTCTCCTCTGCAGCTTTTACTAGTGACAGGCCCAACTTCTGGACCAAAATTGGATCCTCAATAAACACGTCTGAGAACAACTGAGAGCAACAGAAACTGGGATTTAGTGAAATGGCTTATTTTTTTGTACACAGTAATCTGAACATACGCTGAACAAGAATGTACATCTCTTTGTATTTGTGAGCTGTAGGAGGCTCCTGGTGAAGTCTGGTTGTTCCAGATTTTCAGTGCCTGCTCTAAAAGGTTGTGTTCGAGGTGGAGTTTGTCAGTGATGCTCGTGGCTCGGTGCAACTGACATAGTTCAGTGTGAGCCTGAACCAATCCGTGATAGACTGCAGAGGCCAGACAGAGTGATGGGTGAACTTCTAGCAGGAATACGTTCATCAGAGCAGGCCTGCAAAAAAAAACAAAAAAAACAAAACAAAAGGACGCAAGGAGGGAAAGACATGAGCATTAAAAGAAGAAAATAATTATGTTTTATAGTATAAAGTCTTCCACAGCTGTTTTAACTTGCCTCGTGCCTCCAAGTGAGACCAAATATTGGGGAACATAGTTGGGTGGACGACCATAGCTGGTTATAAAGCCTTTGTGATCATTTCTCCAGATGCGCTGAAGGTACAGTCGCTGTCTCTCTATCTGTTCAGAGGAACAACATAACCACAACATATAACTGTGGTGTGTCTCATGTACAGACCACAGTCATTGCACAGCTTCACATGTAAATACAATCCAGTGCATCATTTAGTGTTTACCTGATTGTCCAGAATGTCTCGGATCAGCCGCTGGTGGCTCTGCATGCAGCTGATCTCAGTCCTGTAGGCCTGAAAATAGTTATCCTGGTTCAGGTCCAGCTGTGGCTTCCTGTGCATGATGTCAGTGATAACTTGGGCCAATGCAAACCTCTCCTCTGTGCCCACTGCATGCTGGTAGGCTTCATAGTAACAGTTTAAAAGCTGCAGAAACACAGAAGTGCACAGTTAGTCAGTTGTAACAGTATGTCAGTCGTAGTTCTATAAAGTTCAATGCTAACAGGAAATGACTGAGCCAAAAGAAATCAAATCCTCTTTTCCATCAATCTACCTGGACTTTGCTCTCCATGAACTCAGTCTCACATGCCCACAAATTGAGAAGCAAAGCAACGCGGTCAACATCTGTCCCAGCCCAGGAGTTGAAATCTACTGTCGAGGCTGACACTCCCTCAGTTTTTCCAATTTGTTTGATTGTGTTTCTGTGGATGAAGTGCGAGCCGATGAGGAGAAGCTCATTCATCAGCTCTACAAGGTCCTGCAGAGCAGCGTCGTACATGATGTAAAACCCTCTGGGGTCCTGAGTGTGGATGTAACGACCCTCAGAGGTGTAAAAATCATGAAGATTCTCCACCTCTGCAAACTCCATGAACTCTGAGCAGTGGACCTAGACAGTTGTAAGAAGCAATGTCTGGATTCTCAGTTAAACCAATTTTTTTAAATTCACTTGAAGCAAGAGGATATATGTTTTTACCTTGTAATCGACAGGAGTGCTGTGAATATACTGGACAGAGCCGAGACCTTCTGCCTCTCCTCTTCCTCCTCTGGCTACATTCATCCAACCCGTCTCCTCTGCTGTGCTGCGCAGCACCTGTCCTTCTAGCTGCAAACCTGCCAGGTCAAAGGTCAAAGTCCTTTCCACAGAGCGCAGGTAGTTCAGCATCCCAAGTGACACACGCTGCAGATGGTAAAAATTAAAACGACATTCGAGAGCTCGCATACTATAGCAACAGACAGATATACTTAATATATTTTCTTTTTTTAATCAACAAGAAAACGATCATCAGCAAAAAACAGTTTAGAGACGAGAGAAAGAACAATTCAGTATCCGCAACTGCACCAAAGAATAAAACAGTGAAGTGTGGATTATTAAACTTCAGGTCTCTCTCTCCCATTTTATTAAAAATTGATCAACAAATTGATTTACTCTGCCTTATAGAAACCTGTTTACAGCAGGATGATTATATTAGTTTAAATAAATGGCAGCAATCTTCCACTCCAGTCGTTAATTAACCAAAGACCCTGTTTTTAATCTGATTTAGTGCTCAGCTCAGATAAAATAATTATCGTGGGTGATTTTAACATCAGTGTAGATACTGACAGCCTCAACAAGGCATGTAATCGATCATTAGACTCGATTGACTTCTTTCAAAATGTAAAAGAACCCACCCACCACTCACACTCTAGATCTTGTTCTCACATATGGCACAGAAACGGAACATTTCCACATAACTTTACATTTACAATGGTGGATTACACAGCAGTGGGGAATAGATTTCATCTCAGTAGATGTCTTTCTAAAAGTGCTGTAACTAAGTTTAAGGATGTAATTCATCTACTGTTCTCTTCTTCTATGCCTGGTGCCAAACAGAGCAGAGCAGCTACCTGAACGCTACTCCCATAGAGGTTGATTATCTTGTTAATAATTTCACTTCTTCACTGCGAACACCTCTGGATACTGTAGCTCTTCTGAAAAAGAAAGGCTCAAACCAGAAGTACTTGACTCCCTGGTATAACTCGCAGACCTAAAGCAGACAACCCAGTAAGGACCAGGGGAAATGGTAAATGAACTGGTTCTTATATAGCACTTTTCTACTCTGAAAACTCTAAACTCTACTCTAAAACCACTTTAAAAAAAAAAAAAACAACCTCATTCACCCTCATTCGGTCAAGCACTTTTTTCTACTTCTTAAGTGCTTTCTATTTAACATTCATGCGCATTCATACTCCGATGGATGCATTGGAAAGCAACTTGAGGTCAGTATCTTGCACAAGGATATTTGGCATGCAGACTGGAGCAGATAGGGATTGAAGCACCAGTCTTCTGATTAGTAGGTGATCTGCTCTACCACCTGTAGCATTCCTTTAAGCAAAAGTTAACTAGTAAGAACTTCATGAATTTCTTCACAAATAAAATTTTAAACATTAGAGAAAAAGTCACTCGTAACCATCTCACAGACGTAACATTATGTCCAGCTGACTTCAGTTATTACTTCCTCCAAAGCATCAACATGTCTTTTAGACCCCATTCAAGACTGCTGAGAGAAGTCCCACCAATAATTAATGTTTCAGTCTTAAATATGGTCAACCTCTCTCTAATAATCGGCTATGTACCACTGGCCTTCAAGCTGGCAGGAGGTAATTTAAAAAAAAAACGCTTTAGTGAAGGTTACAAATGATCTTCTAATTGCCTTAGAAGTGGACTCATCTCTTAGCTTTTCCTGCTAGACCTCAGTGCAGCGTTTGATCCTGTCGACCCTAAAACTTTATTACAGCAATTAGAGCATGCAGTAGCAATTAAAGGTACCGTGCTGCAGTGGTTTGAATCGTACCTAATAGACTCCAGTTTGTTCATGTAAATGGAGAGTCCTCTTCACACACTAAGGTTAATTATGGAGTTTCACAGGGTTCAGTGCTAGGACCAATTCTGTTTAGATAAAACTGAGGTTATTGCACTTTTATTGCACTTGGCCCTGAAAATCTTGGACTCATTCTTGACCAGGATATGCCATTCAATGTGCATATTAAAGAAATATGTAGGACTGAGTTCTTCCAATTGTGCAATATCTCTAAAATTAGAAACACCCTGTGTTAGAGCGATGCCAAAGAACTAGGTCATAGGCATTACTTAGTATTACTTCTAGGCTGGACTACTCTAATTCATTATTATCAACCTTCAGTTGATCCGAAGTACTGACAGGGACTAGAAAGAAAGCGTATTTCTCCCACATTGGCTTCCCTTCATTGGCTCCCTGTTACATCCAGAATCGAATTTAAAATCCTGCTCTTCACATATAAAGTATTGAATAATCAGGCCCCATCTTATTTCAATGACTTTATAGTACCATATCACCCCATTAGAGCTTTTCACCCTCAGAATGCAGGCTTACTTGTTGTTCCTAGAGTATTTAAAAGTAGAAAGGGAGGCAGAGCTTTCAGCTTTCAGGCCCCTCTTCTGTGAAAGAAGCTTCCAGTTTGAATTTGGGAGAAAGACACCCTCTCTACTTTTAAGATTAGGCTTAAAACTTTCCTTTTTGCTAAAGCATATAGTTAGGACTGGATCAGGTGACCCTGAATCCTCCCTTAGTTACACTGCAATAGTTGTAGGCTGCTGGGGGATTCCCATGATGCATTTGGTGTGTCTTCTTCAGTCACCTTTTTCACTCACTATGTGTTAAAAGACCTCCCTGCATTTAACTGCATTTCTCTTGCTCCTCTCACCCCAATGCCAATGAAATGTATCTATTATACTGCATACATCAACATGCACTTACATACCTGCCACATAAATACTAGTAGAAAATACTACTACTGTACCTGGAGCTCTCTGAGTTTCAAGTGGCGCAGAAAGATGAGGGACAGGTAAGCTCCTCTGGTTACTACTGGACCCGAGAAGCCTTCAGGTAAACTGTCATCCAGGCCCAGGACCTGCAGGTTGTCCTCCAAAGACTGACTGTGCCACGATAATATGAGTGAGTGGGAAAAGAGCTGATGTTTTCCTTAGTCTTAAAAGGCTTTCAGCCTCACAAGTGACCAAAGTAATGTGATGAATAAATTCTGCAAAGCAATTTTTCTTTGAATAAACACACCTTTCATGGTAAAAGCTTGAAGTCTGACTCTTTGAAATCTCTTTGTTGCTGCCTCTGCTCCCTCTGGATGCGGATGAGTGACTGTGGGTTTCCTATTAACATAAATGTCAGTGTTATTGCACTGACTGAATTTTTACATCTCCCAAGTCGAAAACTAGACGACACACACCTGAATGAGATTGGCAGCGTTGTAAACATTTTTCCAAATCTCAGAGATCATTTGTTTTTTTGTCTTGCGGCTGCTTGAGATGAACGATGTGGATTGTGAGTCGCCAACTTGTGCAGCATGTTCTTTGAGAGCTGCAGCCACGTGGAGCAAATTGCGGACCTGCTCAGATACACAGTGAGGACAGCATAACAAAACGTGACAAAAATCATTAAAATAAAAAGGCATTATATACAGTCAGGACACTTCATTAGGTACACGTTGCTAGTACTGGCTTTTCTTCAGAACTGTGTTCATTCTTTGTGGCACAGATTCAAGAAAGTTCCGAAATCATTCCGGTACCAGCACCAGTCTGAGCTGCTGGTTCAAGGCAGGATGGATCCATGCTTATATGCTTGTCTCGACTATGTCCACATGCCTAAATACTCCGAGGTCATTGGCTCATATGACATTGCAGCTGAAAAGGTGTACCTAATAAAGTGGCATTAGTGTAATGCACTGTTAGCAAATTCTCACTTATGTTCTTTTCACCAGTTATCAGTTAGTCAGTTGTAACTATATATTTATTAATCATTTGCAATAATTTCACCCATTTTGAAGGATGCGTGACACTGATTCAGAGCAGACTCGCTTTTTACCTGAAGAAACTTGCACTGCATCTGGAGCAGCTCATCAACTGAATTCTTTTCCTTGAGCTTTGTGAAGAGCTTCTGCTGCCACGGATCTCGCCTGGGTTTCACCTACAGAGCGGAAACCAAACAATCAGTTTCTAGCATCCTGCAAACGTCTGAAAGACTACAGAATCCATAAAAACACAAGTGCTTACAGAAAAAAAAAAAAAAATGCAAATGTTTTGCCAGATACTGATGAACTCTAAAGCACCGAGCATCACAGGAAACAGTATTTGAAAAGATTATTTTACTATTTTATTTGTTTCCCCTCAAACCTGGATGAAAGGAATCCAGTTAGCCTCCTTGCACACAGCCATGTTTGCACTCTTCCTCCCCCACTGACTCTCTCTGACGTCCATACCGTCGTAAGGAGGAAACGTTTTCATCTGCTCTTGTTGTCGGAAGATTGTTTTAAACTCCCTCCACACCTGGACAGACAGCAGCTGCGATTCAGACCAATAATTTAAATGCATTTTAAATTTCACCACCTTTTGAGGACAAATATACCATGCTGAATAGCTCCATCTCATCTGCAGTGGTTTTCAGATTTCCTGTGTCATACGGCAGGCAGAAGTAGGCGAGCAGGGACTCCAGCTCGGGCATGAACTGCTCCAGGTGAACTGTGTGGAGTGGTAGTACTGAAATACAGTTAAATGTAAACTTTTTTACCATTTTTTTTTTATTTCCAAAAGATTACAAAAAACATGTATGAAGGGAAAAGCTCACCATCAGCCTGTTGCCTTTCATGCAAAATTTCCCCACAATCCTTTCCTGGTGCTTCATCTTTTCTTTCACACATAGGTACATAGTGGAGCACCTGTTAAAGCAAATTTTAATGTGAAATAAAGCACCACAGGCATCAGACAGGATGAACAGTGATAAAATCTGTCTGTGGCTTTTTACCCTGAGAAAGTGGTGGATGGGCTGAACAGAGTGCAGGTGGCAGACAAGCCACTGCAGATAAATGACGACATCGTCCTGAGTGAGCAGGCTGACGGGGTTTCCTCGGCCGGTCAGCATCTTCTCTCTGCTTGCTGACAGTCTGCGAGCTCTCTGAACGGCATCCTGATACTCACGGGTCATGTAGGACACCTGATCCTGAGACAAAACAAGTCTTATACGATGATGCATTTTTCAGTGCGACATCTGTACGATTCTTCTCGTTCTTTAGAAATAAAAGATTCAGCATTCTCAAGCTGTTTACACGAGGAGAACATTTTCCAGTGACGTTCAAAATAGTGTACAAGGAACCGTATGCTTCCTGAACTGACTGCATTCTGAATAATTATTAAATCACAGATGCTGTATAAAATCTAAATAACTGGATCCCAAGTATTTGTTATCATTTAAAGCTCATATATAAGAGAAAGTAACACAAAGATGGAAAACATGACTGCAGACACGATAATTTAGCCCTCTGTCTCTTTTACTATGCTGCTGTGAAACTTTGCAGCGTGATTTGTGATCTAAGATGATGTAAACAACAGCTGCCCTGAAAAAGAAATCCAAAAACCTGTAGTTACTCACACCTGTTCAACTGCTCATTAATGCAACCAGCCATTGTCAAGAAGACCTGCTGAAGTTCAAACCGCACTTCAGAATGAAGAAGAAAGGTCATTTGGAATTTGAATTTGGCATGAATGTTGCCATTTCAGAAACTTCTGATCTACTGGGGTTTCCCCACACATGACCACCTCTAGGATTTACAGAGAATGGTCCAAAAAAAGAAACAAAATATCCACAGATATCCAAGTCGTACCGACAGGAAGGCAACAGTAACAGAACTTGTACTAGCAAGCTAATGCTAATAAAGTGTCCAGTGAGTATATACACCTTTCAGAATTAATGCTACCTTAATTGTGTACTAGTTAAACATGTTTTTAAGTCACATTCACACTCGTGTAGAGCATCCTGTGTTTTTTGGGAAATGTATTCTGTGATATTTGCCATATTTTTAAACTCAGATTAAAGGTAGATACAGAATAAAATGCAGAAAATAACCACAAACCAGTACAAAAGTACAGTGAAAAGATGTACTTTTTTTAGAGTATTGTTAAAACACTGCTAGGTCATGCTGTTCGTTTACACATGGCAACCTTATAATGGGGATAAAGCTTCTCAATAACGCTGGCATGGTGGCAAAATCTCCTCCATCTCAGCATGAGCAGATATCTGATCTGAGCCAAGTGATAAGATCTGTCTGTGAAGAACTGTGGTAAAAATACAAAAAGGAAACTGGTTTAAGTTTAAAAACTTTTCAAAAAAAAAAATCCTAAAATAATCTGTTTCTGCTTCTTGTTTCAGGCATAAATTTTCTGTCTCTGTCCTGACCTGGTGCAGCAGAAGAGGCAGACTGTCAGGAGTGTACTCCGAACTCAAGCAGCTCTCCAGCTCTCGCTGCATGATATCAGCCTGAGACCGAGTCGGCAAAATGTCAGCCACCTGAAACCAGCAGAAAACAAACTACACCTAAAAAAAAAAAAAAACCTAAAAATAATGCCTTCACTTAATATTGGATATAAATCAAAGATTTTAAAGTCTAACAATGCAAGACTAATAATGAACTTTCTGTAGAAAGCATCACCTGAAGCCCTCTCCTCAGTGCATGCTCCCTCTCCACACGAAAGAAGGAAATATCTTTAGGAGGTAGTACAGAACTGGAACAAAAACTTTTACAAACATCATGGGTTTAAAATGTAAATGCCCACAAATCAGTCACAGCTCAGATCTGTCACATTTTACCTAAAGTGACTACTATGCTGCTACACTACTTAGGCTTTTTAAAAAAAAAAAAAAGGATAAATATACAGGGAACATAACACTAACAAAAAAGTTCAGCTGCCTGTTAATGTGAATTTATCATCACTACTGGTAATACTTGTGTTGCATACTTTACAAGCCTTATGCATCTTAAACTTGGATTTAAGGTGGAAAACCGAAAGGCGTCCTGCTTCAGAACAGAAATCTGAAATGTGCAGGGTTATTTGAGCACATAAGTACATCGGTCTGCATTGTGAAGGGCAAACATTCATGTTAAATAACAACCGGCCATATTTTGAGTTGAGGATAGCTTTCAGGTCTACCCTTTTGGCAATCTGAGCTTAAATAATACATCACAGACAAACCTGTAGGCATTAGAAGATCCTGCTCCTCTATTCTCTTCAATCTCTGCCTTGAGTGCAGAGAGGTGACTCCACAGCTCTGCCTCCATCTGCTTCACCTTCACAGAGGAGGAAACTTTGTACACTGCACACATGTCTGACATCTTCAATGATCAACACATTCAAATGACAAAAAAAAAAAATAATAATATATATCTCTCTCTCTCTCTCCTTTAGCCCTGCTAAATCTCTGCCTCAACGCTGACTTGTTGTGGTGTGTCCATGGAGACAAATATCCATGGGCATCTGGACTCAGTGACTCCATTCAGGCTCTAGAGGGCTCCATCGTTTCAGTGCAGTCAACCAGTCTTTGGGCTGTCATGTCAGTGATGTCAGTCTCTTCAGTCAAATTTTTTGTTTTGTCCTCTAGTTTGTAATAAAAATCTCAAATACAAGTCATTGCATCACTGTACTATTACATCTTTGAGGAGCACCTGAATTCACCAATTATAGCTCCTTACCTTCAAAAACCCTGATTTAGGCCCAAATAGTCTATTCCTCTTGGATACAGTGTGTGATTGGTTCTTCAATGATATGATTATCCAATAGCAAGTCACCTCCACAGCTGTGGAATTCCTCTAGGGACAGATTTAAAAACAAAAGACAACATCAAACTCCAGCTTTTCAGTAGTTTATGCTTTATTTACATGCACCAGCTCTGATAAAACCAAGTGTTTGCTTTACAAGTGGAAATGTCAACTTCATGTTTTGTTTTTGTAGGAGCAATAGGAATATATGAAATGTGGAGACTGGCAGTGAAATTTAAACCTTAACACAGACTGTAAAAATCAGTCAAGAAAAAAAAAATAATAATTTAAAAAAAAAAGTGGAAGCACAGCTGTGCAGAAATGTATTAAAAGGTTAAGCCAATGAGAATTATTTAATCTGGTTAACACACTGTTAAACATTTCTCAAAAGGACCCTTTCATTTGTTGTGCAAGTGATCACCCAGTGAACAGAGCAATGAAAACATGATTTTACACAGCCCTAACCAAATGTGCATCGAGGAACAATGGCAACAAGTATCGCAATAAATAAACCAAATTTGTTTTTTACAATGATGCAACATGAGACAAGTTTACTAAAACACTCCTGATAATTAAAAAAAAAAAAAAAAAAAAAAATTAAAAATGTAAACAATTTTAAAAAGCATCCTGCTGCTCCTACAAAATTGTGCTGATGTAGATTTTTTTGCCCTTATATCACACACACACACACACTTCTGATTAGCTATGCACTGTGTAGCCTCTTTCCACTTATTTAAATGCAGATAAACTTTGGCAATATTTAAGATACTGTGGTCATTTCTTTCATTACAAAGAAAAAAGAAAAAACGCCAAGATACTACACACCCTCCCAGTGTTGAAAACATGTCACCCAGCACCTGCTATAGTGCTGATAACAAAGAAGAGGCTACTGACGGTGCTTCATCTGCAGCCACTCCCTGCTATCTTTAGATTTAGAGCACCAAGAACTCCATCAAATCAACGCCAAAACTGGTGTAGTTGTCGAGCGCTGTGAGTCACTGAATGTGGTTATTTCAACCCAAGTAGTCCCAAGTGTTTGACAACTAAAAAGTGGTAACTAGAACTAAATCGTGTCCTTAACTCAGTCCTAAGGTCTGTATACAGAGCAGTACTTCCAACAGTGCAGTGAGTGGAAGAGGAGGGACCTAAAAAGGGATCTGCAGCAGAAACATCATCAATACTTCAGTAATGGACCTCTTCAGAGGGAACAGAATTCACAGTAATGTCACTTAAAAATCACAGGGTAAAATTTGCTACAAAAAATAAAAATTGAAAAAACACTGCATACAAAAAACACATCATGTAGAGCAGTTCACATCTTGATAACATTACATACTGATATTTGGTGTGAATTGGTGCATCAATGGGGAGGGAAAGCTTTTAAAAAACTGTTTGTCCATTTAGGCTACGTCTCAAAGAAATCTTTAAAAAAAACAAAGGAAAAAAAAAAAAAAGCAGCTTGTCAAGTATCCTCCACTGGAACGTAGTAATGTAACATTCTCTGCAGTTTTTGTAAACAGGCCATCAGTCAGGCTGACAGCTGGTTTGGCAAAAAATGTTTTGGGTATGAAAGGGTGTGAAAGAGGAGAGAAAGCAGGATGAAAACACTTCATTTTCAGTTTTATGTATTACTTTGTGATATGAGTGAATCCCTGAGACTGATACAAGTTGATCCATGTAGTTTTAACTGAAGGTACTGTAGTTTCATTCCACTCAGTACCGTTTGTTCATACTGGCCAGGCATTGATCTTTTGAAAATTATTTTTCCTTCACTGTGAAGACACTGTTGTTTTGTCTCAGACACCTACAATACAGTACTGAAGTTAATGCCGCAAATGAAAAATAGGAAGAAAGTCTACTGAAACTCTTACATACCTTCCTTCCCTCTAGTTGCACAACGCAGGACAATTAACCCAAATTTACACCTTCTTTACTTCTGACAGCTCCTCAGCTCGGCACCCAGCTCTGAGGGCTCTGTTTCGAGCTGGAGAAGCTTCCTGAATTCTTGTTGCTGTTCTGTGTGGAGGTGAGGCGAGAGTCAAAGCTGAGGTCCAGGCAATCTGCGTCCATCAGTTCATTGCGGATGATTGAGTCCATGTCGCAGTCCAGATTGCTGCTGAACACCTCAAGGTCCAGATCAGTGGAGAAACGGTCCTGACTGGTTAAACTGGAACTGAGCTGCATAGAGGCGTTCTTACTAGGAGACTTCAGGTGTAGCTGCTTTGTTTCAGGGAAGCCGTCGTCACTGTCAGAGGTTGACAAGCCTGCTTGCCAACCAGGCACTGAAGAGCTTTGGGCCTGGCCTGCACTGGTGTGGTTAACCAGAATGTGGTCTTTGCGGAGCAGCATGGCATTTCGGCGGGAGTTCTGCAAAGCGATGGCGGTGCTGGCCTGCGACATCAGAGGGTCTGACTGGGTCATCATGACATTGCTGGGGCTGTGGGAGTCCATCCCAAGCAGATCTAGGGCCTGGTGCTCACTGTAGTGAGACATGCAGGAGAAAGTGGTCTGCTTGTTCTCTTGGATGGTCTGCATGGGTGACTGTCGCAGGCTCGTGATGGACGGAGGGCTGAAGAGTGGGTTCGTCCCATAGCTGCTAGAGGGACTACCTAAACTGCTTCCTGAGCAGCTGAAGGTAAATACTGAACTCCCCTGACTGTTGGCCCCATCTTCCTCTCCAGGAGGAGGCTGCTGGGATGCTGTGAGGCTGATATTGTCTAAAAGATCATCCATCAGGTTGTCAGAGAGCCCGTCATTGAGGTTCATAGTGCCTGCCAGATCAGACAGTCCTGTTGGTCCAGTGGACGGAGACATGCTGCTGGGGCTGGAGTACAGCATTGGCGACAGGGGTGAGTCGTCATCAGGTACCTCATCCAGCTCCAGGTTAGCCAGGATTGGGGACAGACGACCGCTGAGCGTGCTAGCGTTGGAATTTGTCCGAGAGCGGAAGTCTGTCCAGGCATCGAGCTCGTCGCTGCTGCGGGAGGTGGGACTTCCTGTCCATTTGGAGAGGCTCGAGGAGCTCTCAGAGCTCCCATCTTGAGCAACCTGCAATGAGGCTTTTTTCTTTGTGGCACGTCCTCTGGCTCCTTTGATGTACTTGCTGTTATCCATCGACACAGCCCTACGTCTGGGAGCTTTACCTCCTTTCCCACCTTCTGGGTTGACCATCCACCAGGAGCTTTTCCCAGTTCCTTCATTCTGGACTTTCACAAAACGGCTATGGAGGGAAAGATTGTGTCGGATGGAATTCTGCAAAGACAAATGATTAAGAAAACTTAAGCATTAATACAACTTTCCCAGTATGAGCAATAATTCATAAAAAAAATATCTTGTGTACATGATACGATTAAGTATTAAATACTTTTAGGAGCTTCAAAAGCTTTAACGAGATGTGACCTACAAAGTGGACCAAGTCAGAATGTGTGTTCCTGCTGCATCTGTTAGTGTTGTTCTCAAACTTCAGTCAAGCTTAACTACAAAAGATTACAACATGTATTACAGTAATTGCAGAGCTCTATAACGGCCCAACAAAGGAACAATGAGCCAGATAATATAAATCACTACAACAGAATACAAAACTCAGTGCTGTAAGCAGACAGTGCTGTATTCTGTGTCCCCTACAAAACTTCTTAAGGTTTTGTTGTTCATCTACAGTACTACGTTTTCAGCATGGTGTGCAGTGTTCCTAAAATTTGAGGAAACTGGACAAATTGATGACAAAATAAAACACAGGACTGAAATTATCTGAATTTTGTGTTCTAAATAGAGACACTGCTGACTTTTCAGATGATTACAAAAGACTAAAAGTCAGTGGCAAAAGGTATTATGTAGCTTGAAAGTTATGGTTCAAGTTGCTGTCAATATGTACAGTCGAGTGGTACAAGAGTGACTGTCTATAGCCATCTAGAAAACATGGTTGAGGCTCTGTCATGTTCTGGGCTGTGTTTTAGCTAGAGGTGTTGAAATCTTGCCAAATTGATGGAATCATGAATGCAATCAAGTACAGTTTGACATCACCGTGCAATACAATCTGGAAGGTGCGATTAGCAGTAGTGTTTTTGGGACAATCCCAAATAGACTTCCAATGCCCCCCACACACACACACACACACACACACACACACCCCCCCAAAGGGGAACACCATCGGTCATAGATTGGCCTCCCCAGTGCCCAGACCTCAACATTACTGAGGCGGTGTGGGATCATCTTGACAGATAACTGAGCAAAAAGGCAGCAAACAGCCAAAGAACTTCAGTCTCCTTCAAGAAGCCTGGAGACACATTCCCAAAGACTACTGAAATTCAAATTAAAGAAATGAGTGACTCAAGGATATTGCACAGGGTTAACTGTAATTTAACCCTTTAAGGCCAAGTGTATCAAAGATGATACATCTATATCAGTGTAAATATTCTGCAAAAAAAATATAGAAAGGAAAACAAAAGCCTGATGTAGCTAATATGATACAAATTTAAACTTATGCAAATTAATATTTATCATTATTGCAAGACTCACTAAACAATCCATTAATAATAATAATAATAATTTAAAAAAAGTTTTTGGGCTTTTATTTCATG